ACGGCCCGGGGGGGGGGGGGGGGGGGGGGCCCTACCAGCTACCAGCAAACAACATATCGTCGTTGCAATGTCGAAAGCAGTGCCTTTGTCATTGAGATGGGCTAATGTGAACCGTCTCTGAGGGGCTGCCTCTGCAAAGCAATTGCCTGGATTGCCTCACCGGCCGTGGCTTCTCTTGTGGTGGTGGTAGTAGTAGTAGTAGTAGAAGTTGTATTCATCGTAGTTGCAATAGCTGTACTTTGTCTTCTATTTTCAAATCCAACAGTTTCTGTCAGCCCTTTCCTGGTAGGATTAGGGACACAAACAATTTGGCATGCCAGGTTTCATTCTCAGCAGCATTTTTTTGGATTTTGGATGCTATAAAAAAAGTACACATGACTTGAATGAATGTAAGTAGATGCCAAGATGTCTTGGTGTCCTCCTACGCAGCAGGATCGACATACATGCCTCGCCTGCCCCACTTATAAATCACAATGTGCACATGTATATTCAAAATAGAAGAGTGGCTACCAAAAAAAAAAAAATGCACCACAAGCCAAAATTACATTGAATTGGAGCTGAGGAGCTGTGATTTTCTTGTCAGCATGTTATAAATCAAGCCTGTGAAAAATGTGATATTTTTTTACAACTGTCTTTGAACTCTTTCACTCAAAATGGTGGACATTAGATGCTTACAAGTAGACGGTGAGTATGATGTAGTTCCTCAAGAAAACAATGTTTATCAGTCGTCAAGGACAACAGTAATCAGTGCATGTGTGTTCTGCTGACCACAGCATGACGACTCACATTTTCCGACTATTTTGGCGCAGGGAAGCATTAGTAATGGAGATGCATTGCATAAGACGGAAAAAAAGAGTGAACAGGGCAAAAAGGACCATTAATGACATAATCAATCAGGGGGTGGCCTGGACCTTTTCGTTCAATTATCTTCGGGGAAGGTCCACGTGTCTCAAGACAATATCGTGTATCCAGCAGTGTTTCCCAACCTTTATTAAGCCAAGGCACATATTGGGAAAACATCACCAAAAAAAAAAAAAACACTGAGGTGAGTTATGCACCTTCTGCCATCAAGTGCAAGGGCATTTAATTGTTTTGCCGTCATAGATAGATAACCAAAGAACTTTTTTGTAGTACAGTGGAAGTTACGAACATTTCAGGTTATGCATATAATGACCTCTTAAAAAAAAAAAAAAAAATAATCTATGTAAATTTCCCCAGTGTGGGACAAATAAAGGATATCTTATTTCTGTCCTATTATCAGTTTATGATTCACTAAGTCACAGTGACTAACCACACATTTGGGAAAGGTGCGTTCAATTTCAGAAGCCATACCCAAACCTGATTAGATTAGAATCTATCAAGAGAATGTGATTTAGGCTACAAAATGTCAAGCAAAAATGCATGATGCCACCAAACAAAGAAATTCAAAAAAAAGTGATTGAAAACCATCAATCTAACCTGCTCTGAATTTAAAGGGAATGAGGAGGAGCTGCTTTGATTAGGTAGGAATCAAGTCAGCTGTCTTCACTCCCACAACGGTGCAAACATCCATTTCTAACTGCACCCCTGTCCGAAAATACCAAAAGAAAGGAAACCCGTGCTTAGAGTTAGATTGCACTTTGCGCTAGACTTGCGCTGAGCATGGAAATAGAGCCCGGTGTATATGTAAGTAAGTCCATATACATATTTTTACATGATCCTGAATGTGAAAGTGTCCAGATACTCTTTGGTCCATTCAGTGTACTCCTCTCTGAATTGACAGGCCATTAACACACTAACATGTCAGTGAAGAGTAACTCCTGAAGGACACTGTCGTTAATCACAGGTGATGTGATGACGAGCAGGTCGCATAAACATGTCTGTCATCCGACGGCCCAAAAAGCCGTGGCCAACAAGTCTGATGAATTTCTAAGCGTCAGGTTGTTTTGGCTCTGACAGCGAGGCAGTGCATAAGGCTCCTCTGAAGGTAATTACGACGTGACATCATGTGTTTGCGAAATGTCGATTGGACCATTAAGTACAGAGAGCTATTGTTATTTTGTGTGTACAAGAAGGAGAGGTATTGCCGCTCGTTCCTGCCGACTGCTGTCAGGCTATTGAATAGACGGTCCTGAAAACCTGGATTCACCCCCACTCACCCATTTTTAATATGCTTATATTTATATTTATTTAGATACTTTTTGTCTTCTACTTTTTCCCTTTCATAATTTTGCTACTATAAATCGGGAATTTCTCCATTGTGAGACAAATAAAGGTTTTCTTATCTTATGTCTGACTAGATCAAGTTTCCATTGTATTTGAATGTATATACTGTACATGTGATAATATTATATGTGAATGAAGCGAATGATGTTTATGTGTGTTTGTGATTGACAGATGTGTTTCTGTTCATTGTAGTGACACATCCGTGACTCACATAATTGAGGCATATTAAGCTTGCGTGAAATTACCGGATGAACCCAAAATACACAATAACCTTGATAGGTGGACTTAATTTGACCTTCTGTAAACTTTGCAGTGCACGTGTAACTGTTCCATGTTTCAGAACTTTTCCTGCCCTCCAAAAAGGATCTAAACAAAAATAAAAATTTGCAACAGCAATCCGGATAGGCACTGGTTGTGTGAAAAGTACTGAAAGTTGTGCAAACAAAATAATATGTGCATGTTTATGGAAACAGGGAGGCAAACATTTTGTGTGCATGGGTGTTTTCATGCATATGTGACAAACAACAAATGGGAGGTGGTTATTAAAAAAAAAAAAAAAAAATCCAGTGTCCCAAAAGAGAAACACATCTTACACTCTGTAAAATGCCCTGGCTACAGCTCTGCTTCTTGGTCTTATTTCCTCACTTGACACCCCGTGCACTCCTGACACATGACTAGACACACACACACACACACACACACACACACGCACACACACACACACACACACACACACACACACACACACACACACACACACACACACACACACACACACACACACACACACACTGTTGAGAAATCTTGCCACCACGTCGTAACATTCCTGTAGTGTGAACTCCAGCACACTGACAGCCGGCTTTCAATCACCCTGCTTTGCTAAGAGTAACGATATGTGTCTTCCCCCCTAATGCTCTTTCGACCTCCCAGCCCGTCTGCCGCGCTGCCATGGCATCAGCCTTAAATCCGATTCAATCAATCAATCAAGCGAGTCGTAAAGATGGCAACCATCTATGTGCGTGTTATACGCTGCAGGCTCCACACCGACGTCATGCCATCGCCCTTGAAATCGTTTGCTTACTTTTCTTTTTTTTTTTAAACAACTGACTCATCGCAAGCAAAGACGTGCGACACCGCCACCCGTCTAGGTGGCATCACATGCGGAAACAGCGACTGACTTTTCCCCAAATAAGTGTTCCACACCATGTCAAGAAAATGATGCAGGAGGCAAAGGGAGAAAGTGGAGCACTGTAATTACCTCCCAGTCAGAGGTCACGGCAGTAAAGAACACCGCTGGAAGGTGAGTGAGGAGGCGCTTGTCTTCTCCCGCTCTGGACCTTCCAAGGAAAACAGCTCATGAAGCTTAAGATGAAGTTCAAAATTGATTTGAATGTATGAATTTAGCGGGAAATGGTCAACAAAATATAGGACCCCTGCATTGTCATGGTTCAGATTCACCTTTTCGCTGATCTATTTTTTGTTGTTGTTCGCGCCCATTTTTCACGGAAAATGCTTATTGGCGGCATTTCCCTGCTTATTCAGAGGTTTTTGGGGGGTTAAAAAGAATATCAATTCACCTCTAAATTAGATTACAATGGGTGTAAATTATTCGTGGATTTTCCCTACACAACTTAGCTGTATTTTTTCAGATTTCAGTCATTTATCATATAGATTCACATGAACTTTTTCATATTTTTTTTTTGGCTTTGAATATTTCTCATCATAACAAACTGCAAACAAAAAGCACAAATTCACCATCTGAAGAAATTAAGGAGGACTTGTCGATCTGAAAAGTAGTTTAGGAAACTGCATGGTAAAGAACTCGTTATCCAAGAGGAAAACGGAACACTGCAGCCAATTGATGACTGTGGAGTGAAAAACAAACAAACATGAGAATTTCACATTCAGTCTTTTATTAAAATCAACTATTGTATTTATTACCACTAAAATTGTTATGTACAATTGCATTCATTATACTGTACGTACAGCTATGTATCCTTGTAGATAGGCATTGCTTCATTTGTGCTCTGATTTAAATGTTTCAATTTCATGAGGGCAATCAAACAAAACTAATGTGGTTGCATTGAGCGACATAATTAGTTGAGAGTGTCCACTGGGGATTTTGTATTAGGGGGAAATTGTGGTGAGGATGTCATCGAGTATTTTATGTCGAACATCGGGGGAGTGCGCCAAGTACAAAATTAATGTGTCAATAAATGTCCTGATCTTGGAGAACACGGTCTTAATTCCTATTCCTGTCAGTTCTCCCTGTCCTTTCTTAGTTTTGTGGGGCAGTGGAGCCAAGAAAATGTTTTCGTACCCCTTGAACTTTTCACATATTGCTGCTTTACGAGCACAACCACAAACCTCAATGTTTATTGACTTTTTATTTTTTTTGCACGCTCGACACATTGCACATAATTGTGAAGGGGTATTTTCAAAATTCAAGCCTTCACAGGAGATGAATCTCATTCCTGGTTTCTAATCTATTGCAGAATTCAGCAGGATTGCCCTCTATGGAGTGCAAAACTTGGAAGTTTTGCTGTAGACAGAATCTTCCACCTGAGCTGGAAGACCAGGAAGACTTTTTCAAGGCACATACGGGCCTTATATAAATTATTTTTCTAACTGGGCTTTGACGTCAAGCAGCAAGCGGCCGGACAAATCTGTCCAAGAACCTTTTTTTCGGGGGCTAACTTGACTTTTATAAATTACATACAGCTGTTTTTTTGACACACTTAACAGTTCTGTAACTGGTCTGTGTTGAGCAGCAAGATAATTTAGGCACGTCTACTTCACAGTTCGGGGGATTGGGGTTTGAATCTCCCTCTGCAGACTTACTGTTGTTCTGTGTTAGGTTCATTAAAGACTCTAAAATGTGCATCGATTGGAATCAGAGTGTGAGTAGTTGTTTGTCTATATGTGCCATGCGATTTACTGGCAACCACCATTAATCAGCCCAGTTAGGTTCCAGCTCACCCGTGACCCCCACAAGTGCTACAAAAAAGTGATGGATGGATGGGGTGTGATGAACTCTGCCTAGTAAATACTGACGTCACCAGAACAACTGCTTGCTAGCTAGCTAACATTTTATAATGACAACACCGGTTTGATATGAAAATACCGTTAAGTAATTATTTGCGTTCATAGTGTTAATACTACACCAAATTTTAAAAAAGAAAAAGGCCACTGAATGTGTGCCACCCATTGAAAAAGTTGATGTGATGGCCGTGCACGTGGCAATAATTAACATTGCCACTTATGGCAACAGAGTGTGAGATCTGACTATGAAATACGATCTCAGATTCCTCGCAGGACAGAGATAACCAGTCAGGGAGGCAGAAAGGCCTGAGTGTGTTGACAGGGCCGCCATGGGCTCGAGTGAAGGCGGCCGCCTTGAAAGAGAGTCCTCACTCAGGTGGGGCATTCCTCGCTCATTCCCGAGAAGCCAGGTGAGCCGAGGACTTTGACTTTTGGGTTGCAAAAATAAAATTGTGTGTGTGTGTGTGTGTGTGTGTGTGTGTGTGTGTGGCGGGGTGGGTGTGGGGGGGCGGTCAGTCAGAGGCACCGTCAGACACCAGACAGCATTGTTGATGTGAAGATCTGCTGCAGTATTTGGGGGATCTGCTTGGTATCCATAGCAACAAAGGATCTTCCAGCCGGAAGGGTCTTTTGTAGTCTGATGCACAAAAATAAAGACACCAAATTTAAAAAAAGGAAGGGTGAACGCAGAGACACTCATATTTGGCTAGTAAATGGATGAAAGACAACATGGTCCAATCCATCTTTCAATCTTCTGTGTGAACAACAAAGAAGAGGAAGCGCACATAGTAAACAACAATGGAGGACATCTTTCTTCTTGACATCTGGACAATAAGACAAAAAGCTTTGGGGGTTTTTTTCTTCCCATTCTGGAAGTGACCATTCTCCAGCTTTCAGCCAACACACTAGTGCATCAAGCTGCACCCTTCGGGTGTTTGACATGCCAACTTTTTACAGTGGAAATGAAAATACAAAGAACATACTGAATGACAGCAACTGTATTTTTGACAGTGGAACTGCTAAGGTCGACTCAGGTCTTTCAAACCCTGCACTGGTTTGAAACCCTAACCCAGCCTTGAAATCTTAACCATGGCCTAAAACAGACTTGAAAGTCCTTTCAAACTTATCTACCTCTTGTCTGAAAATGATTTACAATTCCAAACCTTAGTTTCAAACCCGAGTTTCAAACTCTACTCTGAAACTCTTATCCTGGTTTAAAACCTTCATTTCAAACCTTAACCTTTAAAGGTTTAGCCTTTACACCTTAATTTGAAATCCTAGCTGTTGTTGAAAGCTCTGTGTGAAAAGGGCGGGTGAGCTACGGTTGTCACTTTAAGTCTTGTTTGTTAATGTGGTTGAACTCTGACACTGTTGTAGATGATTTCTTTATCAATTAATGATTAATAACACTTTCTTTGAGCCGCCGCTTTCAACTTTCCCATTTAACTTGTGTCCTGTTATTGACCCTTTCTTCTGTCATAATCCTCTCTTTACCCCCTTCTCACCTTTCGGCTTGATCGCCCAGAGAGCCGATGAAAATGGCGAAGGCGTTGACCTCGGGGTTTGAAGTGAGGACCTGGGCGAAGCGCTCAGGTCGGATGCCGTAGCGCTCCAGGTTAGCATCGCTTAGCACCACCACAAAGTGCTCGTCGGCCTCCTCCCGTGCTAGCTCCTTGATGCTGGCCGCCGTGGCCTCAAGCGTGTAGTCGCCGCTCATGCAGAACTGAGAGTGGGCGTGCATAGTCTATAGCGGATGGGAGGGCATAATGGGGGGGGGGGGGGCGAAAGCACAGAAAAAATATCATTATATTAATTGTGCAGAAGAGGAAAAGAACCCCCAAGACCTTAGCCCAGCGAGCCAAAGAATTAACTCAAGTGTGTTTTTGTGATGTCACAACAGAATACAGTATGAGCAGTATTAGCAAAAGAGGAAACTGTAACAAAACCATATACAGTGACTAAGGACCAAACCTTGCTGCGAGTAACTGATGCACCCCCAACCCCCTTCCAAAGGTTTACTACTGCCTACAGACTTTTTTTTTCCCATTAGGCAAGACTATGCCCTGACTAAATGAAGCTCCTGCCCTCACATCAACATTTCCCCTTGACACCAAGATGCTACAAAATAACGCTAAGGCAATATTATTAAAAAATATATCATAAAAATATAAAAATATACTCTTACCTTTCCATTATACAGTCAAACCTCGGTTTTCGAACGTCTCAGTTCTCGGCCAATTCAGTTTTCGACCAAAAATTTCAAGTTTTTTATGCCTCGGATGACGAACAAATTTCGGTTCTTGAACAAACTGAGCGCATTTGAATGCACCACTTGACTCCTCTCGCCTTCCTTACATGAGGAAATGACGCTTCATCGGGTAGATGAGGAAGAGACGCTTCCTCGTGTCGCTTTCCATTGTGAGCAGACGTGTTCAATAAACATTTTTATTTTAAAAAGAGGGTGGTTTCAGTTTTCGAACAATTCGGTTTTCGAACAGCCTTCTGGAACGGATTATGGACAAAAACCGAGGTTTGACTGTAAGTCCAATAGGTAAATTGAAAGGGTGAGTAGTTTTACTTTATTTTACCCTATTATAAATAGATTAATTTCTCTTCATATTTGTATAGAGTCAGAAATGCTAAAATGTAAAACCCTCTGGACAGTGGGGGTTGAGGATGCCGAACAGTTTCTTTCTATTTCCATTATTTCCTGCGGGAAAAATTGATTACAAATCTGAACAACCTAAACTTGAATCAGCCATTACGCAGCGGATCATAGTTGATTCTGCCGCTTTGACTGTACTTTGGCAGTAACTAAAAATGGCTGCAGTTAGAATAAAGTAACATTTCTCCAACCAACTACCTTAAGGACTTTTAGTCTCTGCTTGTTGTTCTTCGGGACTCTGTCCACTCGGACCAGATCGATGTCATAGCCGTCGCCCGAGTGGCCCATGATGTCGTACTGTGATCAAAAAAAGAACAACTGATGAGATTTGACAAGTGTAGAAATGATTGTGCTTTTGCATTTGCGAGTTGCAACAGCACCACCTTCACCGAGAATGACCCGAGCCCTCATGCCAGCTTGTGGTGGAGTGTGATGCCACATGATGCCCACTCAAGTATTTCAGCCCTGACGAATGTGTACATGCTTTCCATATACTTGTCAGGTTTCAGAGCAGGTTGGCCTGGCATCGCCAGGTCAAGTCTTCTATTTCAGTTCAGGATGTTATGTCCTCTATCTACTATGAGATGTTATGATCACAATGTTTCCAGACCATGTGGGAGCTCATTTGCACTGTTGCCAGGCAGGAAAATGTGTTTTGAAAGTGTGAAGTGAGTAAACCTCGTGAGATGTCAGTGCATTTTTTTTAAACTCTTGAAGAGATCGATTCATGACACTTTTCCTATGAGAAGAAAATGCAACTGGAACAAACTTAACCAGCATCTTGGAGAAGATTATATCCTACTTTGAAGGTTACAGTATACACAGGAAAAAGTAGTGGTTCTAGACCATTACCGTGAGGAATGTTGAAACGCAAACAGGATGTTAGGGTGTGACCACCCTCACCTTGAACTTGTGCTCATAGCTTTCGAAAGCCTCCATGACCATACACACAGCTTCCATAGTGCGCTCGAGGCGTCCGTCCACGCCGTTGAAGCGGTACATACTTCCAGACACATCGGCTAGCACACGTAGACGTTTGGGCTTTTGCTGTGGCGTTCCTGGCTGTGAACACAGGACACAAACACAATGGAAAATATGGAGTCAGTGACTAAAACAAAAACCCGCATTGGGATTAACTGGTGTAAACTACTAAACACGCGCACACAGGGAATTGATTCATTGATGGACGACAAATATGCAAAGTTTGGAGCTAAATGAGGCAGAAAAGCAATGCCTGACGACTGCAGGGTTGTATAATTAGCACAGGAAATTCCTCCTCAACGAGTAGGCATGAGAGTTGAAGACATGATGCCGGAGAAGAACGCCAGGGTGTAAGAATAATCTCACATATACCACTGGAATGTACTGACTGACACAAAGGTCAACTGTACGTGTGTGTGTGTGGGGGGGGGTAATTGTGTGTGTGTTTAAAGGTGTGGTGCAGTGGGCGGGAAAAACAAAAGAAAATCATTTTCACTTCGGGGTCCAGTTCTCCTCTGCGTTTATAAATAGCCCTTTCGCCGGTGAGGCCGTCGATGATTTTTGCATCGTCCAGTTCTCCCAGAGCCTGGTTCTTTAGCCACTGGCGCTCCTTGGCTTTAGCCTGGAAAACACACACACACACACACACACACACACACACGCACACACACACACACACACACACACACACACGCACACACACACACACACACACACACACACACGCACACACACACACACACACACACACACACACGCACACACACACACACACACACAGACATACACAACATCAGGCGGTTTTTCCACTTGAAAATAGTAACAGCGGAAGGCCACAAACACATCAGTCGCAAAAACCTCAACTGTTAAAATGCCCCCATGATTAACATCTGTGGTAGGCAGTGACAAAAGTCCAAAAGCAGATATTTCAGGTTCAGAGTCAGTGCTTTACTTGAGTATTTACTTTTATGACTATTTTTAATGTTTCATCTACACATTTGAAAATGGATAACTGCAATTTTTTTTTTCTCCAAACTGCAAGTGTGACTATGCAACATAAAAACCGACGCAAGTAAAGAACCAGATCCATCCATCCCCTGTACCGTTTATTCGGGTCACAGGTGTGCTGGATCATTTTATGTGGCCCTCACAATCTCTAATGCAGGTGCTTATATGTGGCAAAATCTCCTGGGTGTTGAAAGAATGAGGGGGCTTCCCTAAAACCCAGTCACACAATGCATTGCTGAAAAGTTTCCAGGAAAGCATCATCTTCTGTGTGTGCGTGTGTGCGTGTGTGTGTGTGTGTGTGTGTGTGTGTGTATGCGTGCGTGCATGCTAAATCACTCATCAAGTATGATAAAAATAACATGACTTCATGGCATCGTCCTTGTGTAATCCCCCTCATATTAACGGCCCGCGGTGACGAGGACAAACAAGCACTGTTGTTCACGTTCAAAGCTGCTGCTTTGAACACCTGGATGGAGGGACGTGGGGGTGGGCGTGGGTGGGAAGCACACACGACATGAGCACAAAAGAGCCTCACACCTGGACAGGAGAATAATAGAGCTAGCATGGCCGCTCTGTAATCATTCTGATATGACACACACCTCTGCACACATGCACTTGAGTTCTCACAGGGATCCTCAACAACTCGCAAACAAGGTCAAAACAATGAAATCACTCTCTCAATGGAATATAGCAAATATGTTTTTCATTTCGGCGCTATTATATTTTGGTCGCTAGGATACATACTGTATGCTAAAAAACAAAGTTGTTGTTTTTTTTATGGTTAGTAGTACCAGTAGTAGTAGCCCAAGAGTTGCTTGATCATGAATTGCCCAATACATTTATTTCCAAGGACCTCCTCTTCTGTGCCTTTCTGTGACTCCTCCAGTGTCTCTAACTCTGTTTTATCCTGCTGTGACACTCTGAAGCTCAGTGACCACTTTCTTCTGTGAACATGCTTTTTGAAGCCCCGCAATGGCGAGGAGTTGTTCATCAAGGGAATGTCGTCTTGGCTTATTAAGAAATTATGTTGTGATGTTTCAAGGTCTCGTGCCACATTTTCTAAAACTAATATTTGACACCCTTTTATCGGGTTTGAATGATCATTTAGGTTGCAAATGCCCAGAATGCCCTTGTCAGGGTATTCCAGTTGGTCAAAAACTTTCTGAACGGACGGTTTTCTCATTAATAATCAACAAGTAAATGAGCTTTGCTCAGATTGGATCGCTGTTCTGCTTAATATGAATATCGTAGCTGCTTGTTATTGATGATACTAGTGTAGCCTGTACTACCGGGGACAAATTCCTTGTGTGTTCTACATACTTGGCTGATGAACATGATTCAGATTCTGATTCTGATATGGAAAACAGCTTTCCTGTGATTGGTAGTTGATGATGTCTTGACTGTTGATACATGGACATCGTGAACTGTGAGCTATAAGATTTTGTCTGTTCCCTCCCATTATATGTCTCGGTTATGGTAAATTGGCACTTGAGTCAACTCATGACTTTGTCTTACATTGTCTATAAAAGTCGGGGAAAAAAGCTAACATTGTACTTGACTGCTAACTTTAGCTTACACACTCTCACAAGGGTGGTACAGTGGATGAGTGGTTAGCGCATCCATTTCACAGTTCTGAGGTTGGTCTGCATTTTCCAATGTTAGCTTATGAAAAACACCTAACAATGGAGTTATTGGCTAATTTTGACTTACATACTCAATGTAAATCAAAGGCAAACATTGAGATTAACAACGATAGTTAGCTAACCTGCTGTATTAGCCTGTGAATGTCATATTTTAAAACCCTTACAACCTGTGTCTTTTTTTTAAACTTTTTTTATTTTGAAGTGGTTTATCAAAGGTTTTCCAGGAATGTTCCCAGATTTTCCTCCCCTGAAGAAACTAAGTAGTATGTCAGAAAAGTTAAACATGACCAGCAAACCTGCAAAGTGTCCAGGATAATGCGCAGGGACTGAACTTGTCTCCTGACAGCACTGGAGAATCGCTCGTATGTGGTGGCGTCATACTCACTCATATCGATCTCCTTCAGCCTGTAGAGAGACGGATGCAATTTTATATTCATTGAATGTCCTTTAGCCTGTAGAGAGACGGATGCAATTTTATATTCATTAAATGTCATGAATTTGACATTTCTTTCTTTATTTATCATAATCCATAGGATGGCGAATTGGAAAGGCATTTTGTAATACTCTACAAACTTGTGAATAAAAATCTAGAAAATATATGAGAAAATAATTACTTTTAGGAGAATAAAATTGTAATCTGACAAAAATAAAGCAAAAAAGTCTATTCTAGCCATCATCATGTGTCTTCAGGATAAAAATGCCACCTGCAGTTTGACAGTATTAACGTTATAAATCAAAGTCCATTCCTTATATCTTGTTATTTATGGAAAATGTGACACATACAATATAATGCTCTTTTTTTTGCATTTGGACAAAATCCATTTCCTGTGTCGCATCAGTACCTTTTTGAACGCATCTATTTTTTTAAGAAATCTTTTACTTTGTCCATTTATACCTGTGAGAGAGACAGGTGTGCTATGTCTTGTCTGTGTAATCCCATCATCATACTTCAGCATTACCTACCTACATAGAATCCTCTTGAGGGGTCATTAAGCATCTTACCTGCACTGTGTTTGCATAAACGGGCATGTGTGTGCACGCGCGTGTGTGTGTGTATTTGAAACATGTGACGACAAGCAGACTGTGATTGCACAAAGATACACAGATAGGAAGATATTGTAACTAAGTACGGTACGTGTCACAGCTCGCCACCGTATCTACAGTATCTCTGTGTGTGTGCGTGTGTGTACGCTTGCCTATTGTCTATGTGTGACTGCTTGCATGAGGACAGACAGACACAATAATCATGTACAGACTGCGGGCGTGAGCCACACAAACACATACAAACAAAATTTAGGGACTCAGACAATAAACCACAAGTATTCCAACCAGGAAATGCCTCACGTCTCGACAGAATACATGACGACACCCTCCCTAAAGGGTGGATAAATTAAGGTCTTGATTTCAAGGGTGGCGGCCCGGTGGTCGACTGGTTAGCGCGTCGGCCTCACAGTGCAGAGGTGCAGGGTTTGATTCCGGCCCCAGCCTTCCTGTGTGGAGTTTCCTCACACATTCCAAAAACATGCACGACAGGCTGATTGAACACTCGAAATTGTCCGTAGGTGTGAGTGTGAGCGTGGATGGTTGTAAATCTCTCTGTGCCCTGCGATTGGCTGGCAACCAGTTCAGGGTGTCCCCCGCCCGCTGACCGAAGACAGCTGGGATAGGCTCCAGCATGCCTTGCGACCCTTGTGAGGATGAAGCGGATCGGAAAATGGATGGAATTTCAAGGGTGTTTTGGGATGAACATGACCAAAATACTGAGTATGATGCAGTGCAGTGCGCTAAATGAACATACTCTGATCCTACCTCTCTGACACTGTCATTCAAAACTGACCATAATTACACAGACATCATCATCTCAATGTGATCATAATGCCTCACTTAGGGCCCTGTTTCGATATGCAAGTGCCTGTGTGCCCGGCGTAAAAATGGGCACATCTTCCTTTGGATGCCAGGGCAAGTCTGGTCTAGTGTGTTTGAGACCGCGATATTGCCTCACTGGGCATTCTGGTGCAGGGAACTGCCGTGCCCCCGATGCACCTGATAATTTGGTTACAGGAAGTAGACTATGCTCGGCATTACAACGGACATATCTCCATTTTCATATGAGAGCAATCTCGCGTTTTTGTGAATTTTGGTAGACCCGCTTATGCCTCACTGGCCATTCCAGGTGTTGCAGCTGATGCCAATAGAAAGAAAACTCCACCTCTGCGTACAGTTAAAATAGTGCGGATTTTTAATGCGACACCACGGAAGAGCTATGGAGCTAAGATTGAGGCTTGCACCCTGGCTACACCAAATTATAGTATGAAAACAATGCATTGCAACATCTTCCAAGGTCCTCTCTCTCTCTCTCTCTCTCTCTCTCTCTCTCTCTCTCTCTCTCTCTCTCTCTCTCTCCCTCTCTCTCTCCTGCTCTCTCAAGCTGCAAAGTTTAATCAAAGTTCAACGTTATGTTTAGTTTGTACATACCTTCAGGCTGTAAACTAATGGTGGCTATGTAGGAGCAGATGCTTGCTGTTGCGAAATGCTGCGATTTACACATGATCCGATGAGTCGACTAATTGTTACTACTATAGCTGACTAGTTCATGAGCAAAATAATCGTTTGTGGTAGCCGAAGTTGAGAATTCTCATTGCATAACGGACAGAAAGTAGGTTAGTGCTCAACATTAACATGTGTTATTAACGTGACTTGCATAAAACTTGACAGGGAATGCAGTAAATGAAACCTGAATAAGAACTGCGTGTGTGTGTGTGTGTGTGTGTGTGTGTGTGTGTGTGTGTGTGTGTGTGTGTGTGTGTGTGTGTGTGTGTGTGTGTGTGTGGAGGGGAAGGTTGACGGGGCGTTATATCCTCCGCCCTCCGAGCTAAACCTCCTACCATGCCTACACCACCCCAGGTAAAACTGTCTAGAACTACTTGTGCTCAAATTCAAAAAACAAAAATGAAAATACATTAAAAAAAAGACAAAAAAACAAAAACAAAAAAACCCTGAGGTTCTAGGGAAAAAAGTAAAGACATTTTTAGGGGCACATAGTCATCTCTGATTAAAATTTCCTGTTGACCAGGGTTTTCAATTTTAATTATTCGTTATGAGAAAAATAGTAATAATAAACCGAGATTTGATTTAGCATTGCAACACAGCCACGAACAAGGGAAAGCCCCGCTTTGGTGAGATGTCATCACTGCGGTTAATCACAGAGCTGATATTGAGTGTCTAACAACTAATGAGCTAAAGTGTGCTTGCGTTTGAATGGATGCTTGCAACTATGATGACAGTTGTTTACTACGCATTCCGCACTCTTTGAGAGAATCAACTGTTGTCCGGCCACATCCCAGTGAGCCCACAGAGAGAGAAGCATAGCACCGCTACTTCCTCCACACATTCCTCTGGTGTGTATGCATGTGTGTGTGTGTGAGTACCGCGACTGCTGCTAAATCTTCCACATTCCACAGATTATATTTAACACAGTAAAGAAAGTGAGAAAATAGCAAGTTATGCTCAAAGAGGAGTGACCCCCTCCCTGCCCCACAAAAAAGAACTACCACATACATAAGGTGGAGTTGCCGACACTAAGAAACAATCTACATGTATTTTTCAACTCTTTGAGACTTGTGCATGTAATCTCTGTGGGGTTGTTAAATTCGGGTCAAAAAAAGTTCAAAAGCTCCAATGTTCTTTTCAAAACAGTGTCACAACCTACTAAATAAATGTGTATGACTAAACTTGTCATTAATTTTGAATGCTCTTAAATAGTAATTGAATTCCTGCAATCTGACTGTGGTCATGCCGAATCGCACACGCAGATGCAGCACAAGCAGACTTGAGCTAAAACACAAAACAGCGTGATATAACTTTTGGTCCCATAGACCGCAATGACATTGTCCCATATTGTTTTTATTTCACCAATTACCACGCTGTGTTCATGCGTCTGTTGTGTGCTTTTTTTTGGGGTGGGGTGGCAGGTGTGCATGTGCATGTGACATAGTAAGTACGTTCTCGACACGATTGGCTGCCCCCGCCGCTGACGGACTGGGCTGAGTGAAATAATGACGGAAGGATGATGCTGTGCCCACCTCTGAAATTCACATTTACATAACATTTTCTTTTCGTGTGTCGGTAAGTGCTGCTGTTTTGCTTACCAACATAGCTGTCCGAGGTCAAATGGGTTCAGCAATCAAGAAATGAATGTCCGTTTAGGAACAATAACAGAGCCTCTTTACCCGGACCATGGTCGATCACATTATTGTGGAGCTAGCGATCGACTGGAACACTTTTTTTTTTTTTTTTGCCCTCTCTATTTAAAATGCAGTGAGATTCTACATTGCATCTGAAAGCCTGTTTACCTGCCTTGGTAGGTGTTGCATTTTTGGTTAGCAACAGAGTGCGAATGGGCTCAGTAGTTATTAAATAACAAGAGATAATTACAAGAGATAATTACAGGACTCCAGGGCCCGACCGCTAAATAAGGCATAAAATAACACAACTTGCTTTGCTCATCTAAGCTTTGCTTATTAAAATTTGCTTTGTTTTGAATGACAGGTCCAGACAATGATCTGATCAACAAATTAATTTTTTAAATATATATTTAAGGATACAGATGGGGGTATGGTATAGATTTATGTGTCATAAATAATGAAACCCCCTGCTGTTAATAGTTAATTACATAAAGGTAAAAACAATTGACAAACATTGGCCATTTGGCTGATTATTTTGGCCAATCATTGAAGAGCCTTAAATTGAGGATTACAATTGTTTTATCGAAGAAAAATACCAGTTATAGGGTTTCTTTACACAGTAGATGGCAACTACTGGTATGTCATGGAAATTTTTTCAACTCTTGTTGCAGGTTCGCTTAAACAGGAATCAATTTGAAATATGACCCTCGATGCGAAAGTTTAAAAAAACGCCGCTGGAAAAACATTTTGGAGCCCTTCCAATTTTCAAAAAAAAGAAAAAAAACTATATACCATTTATGCTGATCTAATTTGAAAAGGGGATGATGGCTCAGACCTGCCAGGCATGTCGACACAGCCGCTTGAGTAAAGGATTGTGTCTGTGTGTATGCGTTTGTGTGCATACACTCTGCCATTTCGGCATACCTGAGCCTGTTTTTGCTTGCGAGCCTTAACGACTGCAGGCAATTTAAAACGGCAGGATCATAGATGGTTGATGTTTAACCTGAAGCTGAGTAAACAAAGGACCGTTTTGGTGGATGTACGAATGAATGGATAAGAAAGACAAAATTTGCATCGACTCTATTTGTGAAGGGAACAATTTTTAGAGCATGTGGTGACATGATTTTTCCAAAAAGATGGAGAGCAAGTGGGGGAAAACGTTGGGAAACGGAAAAAACAGAGCGAGAACAGAAGAGGAGATTCACAAAAGGAACGCATGAGAGGATGAAGGGAATCACTGTGCGTCACGATAATCAGGGGAGGAGGACAGGGGATGGGGGTAGGGGGTGAGGGGCTAAAAGAGAGTAAAAGGGAACAAAACAGAGAACAGAGACAGCCTTCATAGTTGAGTTTCTGAAAAAAGGGTGTCCTCTCGGCTGCCCACACGTGTGCACCTGCACGCACATCCGCACATGTATTCATGAGACCAAGTATGGAAGACCTTATTCATCTATCCACACATTCTTCAGCTATTGTTCCACAGTTGTTTTTTTTTTTTTTTTTACACTACAGTGAGGTAATTGTGCAAGCCAAAGCAAGTGGTGAAGCGCGACAGATCAATCGAGTGCATAGCGGCTGCGCCCACGTGACACGACCCCATCCACTTAACTTCACGGCAGGGACAAGTGGAGTCAGTGGGTGTGTACGAGGCAGGCAAACGGCGGGGAGAGACAGACCAATCGTGTGCATTGTCACTCCTCACACGTGACACTGCTACAGCCAGTCAACTTTTGCACACCAATCGTGTGCAGAGGACTCTTGCCTCGGGGCACTATGACTTCAACATGACATGCCGCAGCCAATCAATTTAGAACCAACCTGTCTTTGAAAGCTTTTTCTGCCATCTCTCGCGCCGCTCTGCGGACCTCCTCTGGGACGGCGTCCTTCTCTGCCTGGGAAACCTGGAACACCTTGTGTCCCGCATCTAAGCGATACGGGCCCCCTTTCCCACCCAGCCCCGCAGTGTCTCGACCTCCTACAGAGAAAACATCACAAAAGAACATAAGGTCAAGACTTTTATTTTGTGTTTTCTCAGAGTACTTTGACTGCCTCCCAAACTCTAAAAACATGCATGGTAGAGTAAGTGAAGACTCTAAATTGCCCATTGATGTGAATTTGAGGGTGAGTGAATGTTTGTCTATAAGTGCCTTGAGAAAGACTGCCGAGCAGTCCAGGGTGTGACTTGCCTATCCTTGCCAAAGTCAGCTGCAATAGGCTCTAGATCACCTGCAGTGCTCAAGATGAAAAGTGATGCATTGTAGAAAATGTAAACCTGATTGATTGATGCATTATTTTTAATAATAGTGTATGATCATTTGTATTTGTCATTATATATTGAACATAATGCTGTAAAATGAATTTGATGTTATAACATCAATACAGTGTGTGTGTGTGAGAGAGAGAGAGAGAGAGAGAGAGAGAGAGAGAGAGAGAGAGAGAGAGAGAGAGAGAGAGAGAGAGAGAGAGAGAGAGAGAGAGAGAGAGAGAGAGAGAGAGAGAGAGAGAGAGAGAGAGAGAGAGAGAGAGAGAGAGAGAGAGAGAGAGAGAGAGAGAGAGAGAGAGAGAGAGAGAGAGAGAGAGAGAGAGAGAGAGAGAGAGAGAGAGAGAGAGAGAGAGAGAGAGAGAGAGAGAGAGAGAGAGAGAGAGAGAGAGAGAGAGAGAGAGAGAGAGAGAGAGAGAGAGAGAGAGAGAGAGAGAGAGAGAGAGAGAGAGAGAGAGAGAGAGAGAGAGAGAGAGAGAGAGAGAGAGAGAGAGAGAGAGAGAGAGAGAGAGAGAGAGAGAGAGAGAGAGAGAGAGAGAGAGAGAGAGAGAGAGAGAGAGAGAGAGAGAGAGAGAGAGAGAGAGAGAGAGAGAGAGAGAGAGAGAGAGAGAGAGAGAGAGAGAGAGAGAGAGAGAGAGAGAGAGAGAGAGAGAGAGAGAGAGAGAGAGAGAGAGAGAGAGAGAGAGAGAGAGAGAGAGAGAGAGAGAGAGAGAGAGAGAGAGAGAGAGAGAGAGAGAGAGAGAGAGAGAGAGAGAGAGAGAGAGAGAGAGAGAGAGAGAGAGAGAGAGAGAGAGAGAGAGAGAGAGAGAGAGAGAGAGAGAGAGAGAGAGAGAGAGAGAGAGAGAGAGAGAGAGAGAGAGAGAGAGAGAGAGAGAGAGAGAGAGAGAGAGAGAGAGAGAGAGAGAGAGAGAGAGAGAGAGAGAGAGAGAGAGAGAGAGAGAGAGAGAGAGAGAGAGAGAGAGAGAGAGAGAGAGAGAGAGAGAGAGAGAGAGAGAGAGAGAGAGAGAGAGAGAGAGAGAGAGAGAGAGAGAGAGAGAGAGAGAGAGAGAGAGAGAGAGAGAGAGAGAGAGAGAGAGAGAGAGAGAGAGAGAGAGAGAGAGAGAGAGAGAGAGAGAGAGAGAGAGAGAGAGAGAGAGAGAGAGAGAGAGAGAGAGAGAGAGAGAGAGAGAGAGAGAGAGAGAGAGAGAGAGAGAGAGAGAGAGAGAGAGAGAGAGAGAGAGAGAGAGAGAGAGAGAGAGAGAGAGAGAGAGAGAGAGAGAGAGAGAGAGAGAGAGAGAGAGAGAGAGAGAGAGAGAGAGAGAGAGAGAGAGAGAGAGAGAGAGAGAGAGAGAGAGAGAGAGAGAGAGAGAGAGAGAGAGAGAGAGAGAGAGAGAGAGAGAGAGAGAGAGAGAGAGAGAGAGAGAGAGAGAGAGAGAGAGAGAGAGAGAGAGAGAGAGAGAGAGAGAGAGAGAGAGAGAGAGAGAGAGAGAGAGAGAGAGAGAGAGAGAGAGAGAGAGAGAGAGAGAGAGAGAGAGAGAGAGAGAGAGAGAGAGAGAGAGAGAGAGAGAGAGAGAGAGAGAGAGAGAGAGAGAGAGAGAGAGAGAGAGAGAGAGAGAGAGAGAGAGAGAGAGAGAGAGAGAGAGAGAGAGAGAGAGAGAGAGAGAGAGAGAGAGAGAGAGAGAGAGAGAGAGAGAGAGAGAGAGAGAGAGAGAGAGAGAGAGAGAGAGAGAGAGAGAGAGAGAGAGAGAGAGAGAGAGAGAGAGAGAGAGAGAGAGAGAGAGAGAGAGAGAGAGAGAGAGAGAGAGAGAGAGAGAGAGAGAGAGAGAGAGAGAGAGAGAGAGAGAGAGAGAGAGAGAGAGAGAGAGAGAGAGAGAGAGAGAGAGAGAGAGAGAGAGAGAGAGAGAGAGAGAGAGAGAGAGAGAGAGAGAGAGAGAGAGAGAGAGAGAGAGAGAGAGAGAGAGAGAGAGAGAGAGAGAGAGAGAGAGAGAGAGAGAGAGAGAGAGAGAGAGAGAGAGAGAGAGAGAGAGAGAGAGAGAGAGAGAGAGAGAGAGAGAGAGAGAGAGAGAGAGAGAGAGAGAGAGAGAGAGAGAGAGAGAGAGAGAGAGAGAGAGAGAGAGAGAGAGAGAGAGAGAGAGAGAGAGAGAGAGAGAGAGAGAGAGAGAGAGAGAGAGAGAGAGAGAGAGAGAGAGAGAGAGAGAGAGAGAGAGAGAGAGAGAGAGAGAGAGAGAGAGAGAGAGAGAGAGAGAGAGAGAGAGAGAGAGAGAGAGAGAGAGAGAGAGAGAGAGAGAGAGAGAGAGAGAGAGAGAGAGAGAGAGAGAGAGAGAGAGAGAGAGAGAGAGAGAGAGAGAGAGAGAGAGAGAGAGAGAGAGAGAGAGAGAGAGAGAGAGAGAGAGAGAGAGAGAGAGAGAGAGAGAGAGAGAGAGAGAGAGAGAGAGAGAGAGAGAGAGAGAGAGAGAGAGAGAGAGAGAGAGAGAGAGAGAGAGAGAGAGAGAGAGAGAGAGAGAGAGAGAGAGAGAGAGAGAGAGAGAGAGAGAGAGAGAGAGAGAGAGAGAGAGAGAGAGAGAGAGAGAGAGAGAGAGAGAGAGAGAGAGAGAGAGAGAGAGAGAGAGAGAGAGAGAGAGAGAGAGAGAGAGAGAGAGAGAGAGAGAGAGAGAGAGAGAGAGAGAGAGAGAGAGAGAGAGAGAGAGAGAGAGAGAGAGAGAGAGAGAGAGAGAGAGAGAGAGAGAGAGAGAGAGAGAGAGAGAGAGAGAGAGAGAGAGAGAGAGAGAGAGAGAGAGAGAGAGAGAGAGAGAGAGAGAGAGAGAGAGAGAGAGAGAGAGAGAGAGAGAGAGAGAGAGAGAGAGAGAGAGAGAGAGAGAGAGAGAGAGAGAGAGAGAGAGAGAGAGAGAGAGAGAGAGAGAGAGAGAGAGAGAGAGAGAGAGAGAGAGAGAGAGAGAGAGAGAGAGAGAGAGAGAGAGAGAGAGAGAGAGAGAGAGAGAGAGAGAGAGAGAGAGAGAGAGAGAGAGAGAGAGAGAGAGAGAGAGAGAGAGAGAGAGAGAGAGAGAGAGAGAGAGAGAGAGAGAGAGAGAGAGAGAGAGAGAGAGAGAGAGAGAGAGAGAGAGAGAGAGAGAGAGAGAGAGAGAGAGAGAGAGAGAGAGAGAGAGAGAGAGAGAGAGAGAGAGAGAGAGAGAGAGAGAGAGAGAGAGAGAGAGAGAGAGAGAGAGAGAGAGAGAGAGAGAGAGAGAGAGAGAGAGAGAGAGAGAGAGAGAGAGAGAGAGAGAGAGAGAGAGAGAGAGAGAGAGAGAGAGAGAGAGAGAGAGAGAGAGAGAGAGAGAGAGAGAGAGAGAGAGAGAGAGAGAGAGAGAGAGAGAGAGAGAGAGAGAGAGAGAGAGAGAGAGAGAGAGAGAGAGAGAGAGAGAGAGAGAGAGAGAGAGAGAGAGAGAGAGAGAGAGAGAGAGAGAGAGAGAGAGAGAGAGAGAGAGAGAGAGAGAGAGAGAGAGAGAGAGAGAGAGAGAGAGAGAGAGAGAGAGAGAGAGAGAGAGAGAGAGAGAGAGAGAGAGAGAGAGAGAGAGAGAGAGAGAGAGAGAGAGAGAGAGAGAGAGAGAGAGAGAGAGAGAGAGAGAGAGAGAGAGAGAGAGAGAGAGAGAGAGAGAGAGAGAGAGAGAGAGAGAGAGAGAGAGAGAGAGAGAGAGAGAGAGAGAGAGAGAGAGAGAGAGAGAGAGAGAGAGAGAGAGAGAGAGAGAGAGAGAGAGAGAGAGAGAGAGAGAGAGAGAGAGAGAGAGAGAGAGAGAGAGAGAGAGAGAGAGAGAGAGAGAGAGAGAGAGAGAGAGAGAGAGAGAGAGAGAGAGAGAGAGAGAGAGAGAGAGAGAGAGAGAGAGAGAGAGAGAGAGAGAGAGAGAGAGAGAGAGAGAGAGAGAGAGAGAGAGAGAGAGAGAGAGAGAGAGAGAGAGAGAGAGAGAGAGAGAGAGAGAGAGAGAGAGAGAGAGAGAGAGAGAGAGAGAGAGAGAGAGAGAGAGAGAGAGAGAGAGAGAGAGAGAGAGAGAGAGAGAGAGAGAGAGAGAGAGAGAGAGAGAGAGAGAGAGAGAGAGAGAGAGAGAGAGAGAGAGAGAGAGAGAGAGAGAGAGAGAGAGAGAGAGAGAGAGAGAGAGAGAGAGAGAGAGAGAGAGAGAGAGAGAGAGAGAGAGAGAGAGAGAGAGAGAGAGAGAGAGAGAGAGAGAGAGAGAGAGAGAGAGAGAGAGAGAGAGAGAGAGAGAGAGAGAGAGAGAGAGAGAGAGAGAGAGAGAGAGAGAGAGAGAGAGAGAGAGAGAGAGAGAGAGAGAGAGAGAGAGAGAGAGAGAGAGAGAGAGAGAGAGAGAGAGAGAGAGAGAGAGAGAGAGAGAGCCTCGGCTAGGTCACCTGTGCCACCTGCCCACTGGTTTCCGCCCACATGTGGTGCATTGTTTGCATCCACCTTGCCGTGTTTTGGGGCAGAGACATCCAAGCCACTGTCCCTTTGGACGGTAATCTGGAAGAAAGAAAATAGGTATTTTTATTTTTTTTTTTTACAAAGATTAAAAATTAGGGTTGGAAACCACCACAATGCCTTACGCTGGGCACATCGTTGATTTTATGAAGCATATAAACAAACAAAATGTGAATATGTTCCACATAAAACACACTTCCACAGAGGTGGAGTGATCAGGACCAAGACATGCCGCGAACAGCGAAAATTCCAGATTAATTGATGCCCCCTTCAAGAAATGTTTATATTTGGTCATGGATGTCACAGCATTGTGGCAAACCACTATTTTTGGCTCAATGAAACACCTCAACTCATTTCAACATAGTTACTTGACACCAAAACGCCAAAAACTGGCACCAAAGTAATACATTTATTACTTTGGCCGGAAAACACAAACAGCAAAATAATTAGCTTTTTTTTCGGTGAATAACAGAGGATAGGTTCTTAAAATAATCAGCGAGCAGGTGAATTGATGAATGCCGAACTGCTGTCCGCATATTTCAGTACCACAGCCATATCAACACCACTAGGTACATCACTTTTACTGTTACACAGCACTCACTAAAGGTGAAACATTGTCACAACTGGGGCCCTTTCACACAGAGACACACGCTAACACAACAACATCATGAAATTACCATCTGTAATCATTGGGTATGAAACTTCACACCATGTCCCTACTCCCGGTATTGTGGACTTCCCTAACATAAAGGCACCATGTGAGTTATGATCTTGACTGTTTTTGCTGGGCTTGTCACAATGTGCGACTTATCATGACATAGCAGGCACGTACTATCTGTTTCAAAATGCCGCGCCTTTAACGAGTCTTAGGGCCCGCTATATTTAGCACAGATTATCTGACCCAGTCGGTATGTAGAGGAGATTATACATATAGGCATGTCTCATTGACTTTTATTACTCAATGTAACTATCACACTTTTAAATATCCATTCCCAGAGGCAGGCCTACTTATAAATGTTCGAATTAATTTGAATGGACTGCATTTTCGTATTGGGAGTCACGCAGTCCTACTCACAATTGTATTTTATACTGAATATCAAGTGTGATTCATGATTGGAATGGTACAGTGTTACAATTAACCTCGTGCTCTGATTCTTAAGGTTTTTTTGGGAGTATGACAGTTTAATGACAACAACAAAAACACAAAAATAACATCTGATCGATTTATTGCTGCTTTCACCACAGTGCACGCAGCAGCCAGGTAGACAGGTATACTCCCATAACGCCACAATGTTGCATTAATCTTTTTCCAGTTTGACAGAAAAAAAAGAAAAATCTAATCACACTTTTCCTGACAAATTTCACTAGTTTTCAAATTATATAACTTTTGCGTGATGAGCACAACAGGATGGACTTGGAAAATGAAAGAATTTGTTGAATGTGAGACTGAAGAAAGAAAAACACTCAATTTTAATGATCGATCTAAAAAAGTGGTTGTCGCCTGACTGTGTTTTTTGTTTTTGTTTTGAGTACTTAGAGGGGGGAAACGCCCCCCCCCCTCAGCAAGTATCATAGATGGGCCTCGTCTCCATCATATGATCTGTCTGCTGTCATATCCATGTACAGTATGTGAGTGATGCATGAACATGAGCTTTGCTGCACACATGCCTGCCCTCACGCACAGGAATGCTTTGCAGTTGGCTCGAGGCCGTGGTTATGAACGCGATTATGATCACCTGACACACACACACACACATGCACAGTTAACTGCCAGGTCATCAGACTGGCCTCCATCCACCTGCCCCTCCTGTCAGGAATCGAGTCGGGTTCGTCCATTTTAGGGGGTCCCTGCTTCGTAATGTGAGCATAGGGCGCCAAGGGGCTTATGGGAAAGGGGTGACTAACGCTATCCATTTGAGTTTAGAGAACGTGTGCGTCACTGGGACAGTGACGCCACCGCATGGCACGCATGACTTTGTCCGCCACAACCATCTGCTCCTCTCCACCGGTAAAATGGCACATTATGATTGGATTTACATCTCGGCTAATGAATGAGAAGAATGGCTGATCATACCCTATGCCTCATTAAATGTAACAACATTAAATGTTGTTACATTTCTGTTTTAACTGTGTCTGTAGAGTTAATAAACATTTAATGATGGTGATGGTATGGCCCTGAAACAAATTATTTTGATTACCCAATTACCATTATTTACTTGGCAAAATTTGCCAATAACGGCATTCAGCACCGGCATCCCCTCAAGAACTGCTCAAATTCCAAATGTTTTTGCAGTCTGGTCTGAGTGTTAAGCATCTCCACAAAAATGAAACATATTTCAGAGCAGAGTGTGACGTGTAAGCAGGTAGTCTGGTATTGAGGTGAGGGATGTAAACGGTGTGGTGAGAAGTACATAGAGCGTCTCTGTTATTCACATACAGTAGAGTTAATGTTGTTTCTCCGGAGCCAACAGCAAGCACAGCGGCTGTCTTGTCTGCAGTAGACGAGGTGTGCCTCCATCGAAGAAGAAGTGACTATTGAGGAATGTGTACGTATGCGCCCAAATGTTATCTTTTCAGGTGTTTGGCTTTGTTCTTGATGACTCGCTATTTTGATTTCTACTTGTTTAGGAATCAAATTTTGGTCCTTATCTTAGATTATACTTTCTATTTTCACTTCTACAGCAGCCCATTTAGGTGGCCACCACTGAATTGCACATAAGTGTTCAAATGCATTATGCCATGATGGCAACTTGTTACATTTCCTTGCCTGTTGCCACCTGATCCTCACTCAATCTGTTGATATGTGAAATAGTTATGTGCATACATAATCGTCAATATGAACACATTTGCACTTCTGGTTAGATGCTAAGTGCATTACAGAGGCTGTACAGTATACCTGAGTCTCCTGCACAAAGACACTAAAGTCAACTCTAATCACTAAATATAACCACTGCGGGATAAAATATGCAAGAAACAATAATGCCTATCTGTGTTCAGATGTTCAGACACGGTTGCGTGCATGTGGACGTCGACATTATCTGAAGAATGCGTCTGTCTGTGCTCTGCAATGTGGGCGCCAACACAATGCCGCCTCAGTCTACAGATCAATATAGCAAGGGTCATAGCTCTTGCATCATCACTACAAAGCCCGTCCATTCATTAACGCCAGCAAGCCCAACAGCGCATACATTTCGGGGTGGGCAGGGAGCAATCCACATCAGGAATGTTTCCAGTGGATACCTTCTGAGAATCTCCTCTCAGAGCTCAATTTTGTGAGCTCATTCACAAAATAGCACTGCCACCCAGTGGTATAAAGTGACAATGCAGGGTACCTGCTGTGATGACAGTAGTCCCCAGTGGTGGGGAGTTGCCAAATACTGTATGTTGCCCACATAAGATTATAAATGTATAAATGTTAACAATAATAATAATCAATAAATAAGTTCTCTAAATAATTACTTGAATAAGAGTATGTATTAAAAATACTTAACTCAGAGCGATTTCTGATTTGTTTTAATCAGCATACTTTTCAAATAGTAATGTGCAAATTCAGGTCGTGACTATATTACTTGAATCAAAACAATAAGAACGTTTATAAAATAACAAATTAAAACTAATTCAATTTCTTAGTCTCCTCAATCCAGTTGAGCCACTTCTGACTTCGCTTGACAAGAGGAATGCAACATTTGTAGCCCATATCTAGCATTTGTCTGTGTGCGGTGGCTCTTTATGTAGCGATTCAAGCCTCAGTACACTCCTTGGGAGGCTCCCCAAATTGTTGTATGGATTTCGCTTGACAATACTCTAAAGGCTGCGATTATCACCTTATCACACCACTCAATTTTATGTTAACATATTTAACTACACTAGTGTGTGAACAGCCAGCTTTTTTAGCAGTGACATTTTGTGACTTAGCCTCCTTGTGAAGGGTGTTGATGACCGTCTTCTGTACATCTCTCAAGTCAGAAGCCTTCTCCCCTGATTTTAAATACGACTGAGCAACTGTTTAAAGGCTCAGGAAACATTTGCAGATATTCTGCGTTAATTAACTGATTTGAGAGTTTCCAAAAGAAAATTGTCATAATATTGAAATGTTCTAAGACACTGATTTTACATAACACAAAGTACTTGACTCTATTTTCTGCAATGATAGACCAAAAAATAAAACTTATTCATATTATATTCTATGTGCCCATAAATGAGACTCGTTCATGACTAACATTTCGGCTCAAACCCAAAGCTAAATAAATAAATGATCGACCAAACTACCCTTGAAACTCTAAAATGTCAAAAAGTGAAGGTACCACTGTATTTACCTGCACAGGCCTACCGTCCTCAGAGCCAATCATATTCCTCCACTCCATCAGCGATCGCTGCAGCGTGTCCAATCCCGTTTCCCAGAGTCGCACGTAACCACCCATGTCCACTGTGACCACGCCGCCGGTGTTGAGTGGAGCCATAAGGACATCCGTCTCTGACATCTTGGACAGCCAATTAGTGTAGGGTGACACAGACATTGACCTGCCACCCATGACAGTAAAGAGAAGTTGGAATTTTGTTCATATAGTATACACTTCGGACTGAGGTCATTAATATAAATAAATAATTTTATTTATTTATTTTTTAAATGGGATAAGGAGGCACTGATTACAAACTGAGTACTGTATACCGGGAAGCACACGTATTTACATTTGAGTACACACCAATACCAAGCACCGATACTTGATAATGCTATTACGTCTTGCAAATATAATAATGTAAAATTATTTTTATTTACCAGGTAACCAAAAATTGTTTAAAAAAAAAACAGAAAATTCCAAATTCCAAAACACTCGGGATAGCACTCACATAGTAATCCCATTTCACTGGTCCATTTGCCAAACCTTTTATACGCTTGCGACTAATATGAGAAGAAAGAAATATCACATGGTTTCAAATCAAATGAATTGGCTCACAGAATGAAAGAAAGAAAACATGCCCTATATATTGAGCGAATATATTAGCACAACTAAGTACTCCATCTCTCACTACAAGATGGTAGCAGAACATTCAACAGTTATCTGTCTTACTTACCTTGGGACAGGAATATATTTGACTTTTTTAGAGTTGAGATCAGTCACTTCCAGGTAGGCTGCTGTCATCGGAGGGGTGACATCTGAAGGCAAAACAGGAAGTCATTCCATTGGAGTGTCAGACACTGTCATACAAAAAGTGTAAATGCTAATAACCTTTCGGGTAGATCTCCTTCAGGGGCACTTTGCTCGGTGGAAGGGCCCGGACCACCTGATTGGCTGACAGTAGACTCACACAATTGCTCTGTTTGACCGCAGCAGTCCGTGGGCCACCTCGGAGGAACGTGTGGGCGCCACCGTTGCTGCCCTTCACCTCTGATAGGTCGACAGCCCTCTTAAAGCTGTACACCTCATTGGGAGACTGGACCATGCATGAAACATCACATTAAAAGATGCTCATCGAGATTAATTGAGATATTTTTCATGTGTTTTCACGGTTACCATGAGGTCTGGGAAGCCCACGATGACTCGCGCAAAGGTGCTTGTGTCAGCCATGATACGATTCGGGGAGACAATTTTTTGGCTGAGGGCGGAGCTGAGATTCTCGTTGGGAAGCTGATCACATGACAGCATTTGCGGTACAGACACATTATCTGACGGAGCAGAAAATGGGAAATATCAGCGAGGAATGCCACTTTGAGCTTACTGCGTTAAAGTTATTTCTTTTGAGATAAGTTTCAAATCAGTATTGTATGGAGTCCACTATTTCGTAGCAACTGTAACCTTTTATTCCAGCCCGGTGAAGGAAAAGGAATGGTAGGCTGTGCATTTTTTTTTAAAAGCAGGATTTGCATTTTTTGTTTTAGAACTGTTCCACGTCTATGTTGCATGGAGTACACCAACTTACGGCACCTGTAAATTTCTATTCCAGTCTAGTGAAAGAGAGTGATGATGAAATATTCAGTGCCCCAAAAACCGCAGCAACACCTTAAAGGGAGCTTGCAACATTGAAGAGACTCATGACCATCGACAACGCATACACGCTGTTTGACATTTTGTTCCCGGTAAGAGTGGGAAGCAGCAGCCACACACATCCTCAACAATTGTGTTGTGGACAGATGAGCGAGGCAGAGTGCATTGTGGATGGAGCGATAACAGCCTCAGTAAGCTTTTTTTCATTTCATTCCAGCAGAACAGATGTGTTAAAATACCTACCTGCGCTAGCGGCCGCATGGCCTGAAGTGATGGCGTCCTCGCTGATGGTGTGCAGCTGACACACGCCTGAGTCCTCTGCCCCCATGTGTATGGGCTTGGTCAGCAGGAACTTCCTATTTCAGGTTGTTTGCAGAGTGAGACTGACATTGAAATGGCTTTTCTTCATATAAATGTGTATTTTGGGAGATAAATGCTGGATAGTGAGCCCCATTCATTCCATATTCCATTCTCACCCACAATAGAATGATATACAGCAAAGCGACTATGTTAAAAAAATAAGAAAGAACATTAAAATAATCTTTTTTGTAGTTGTATGGGGATTTGCTGGAATGAATGGGAAAGGGAATGAATGATGAACAACAAAATATAATCTAAGTTTATAAACCCAAACTTCATACAGTCAAATGGCTATATTTTGTGAAAGTGACAATACTAGACCTCTTAGAAATTTCAGAACAACTTCCTAAATGACTCGAATTACGGTAATCAGGAAACTCCAGTTTGTCCTTTGTAAATTTAGCATACATTCCAAAGAATACCAAAGGGTACCCGTAAGAACCAATCCAATGCGACTTTATCCGCACACACACTCCAAAAAAGGGGAAATTGAAAAGTAGTCACATACTTGCCGGTGTTGCTCTCCAACAGCAGCCAGCGGTCCTCTGCCACTAGGAAGACAGACTTGAGGTTGATGGGCAGGGAAATCGTGTGAACTTGGCCCTCCAGCACATCCAGCACCTCCAGCTGGTTGCTGTAATGGCAAACAAACACCAAGCTCATTATAACAAAAACAAACAAACAAACAAAAAAAACAAAACAGTACAGCAGATTAGAATGTGTTGCGTGGCAAAGAGCATCATCTAACCCATCTTCCTTGTAGAAGAGCAGCCAGTTATTGCGGGCGAAGTCGCGGCACATTTTATACTCTCCCTATGAAACGAACAAATACTTGTGAAACTTCAAATGTCTGAAAATGATGCACTCAGCATCAGGGGATACACTTAGTCAAACATTAGGTGTAGGTAATGAAAATGATTTGAGACTTAGCACTGACCTGCGGTTCTTTACTGCTCCACCAATTGGAAGCCTTGCTGGGGGGCTGCTCGCTGTTCGATGACAACATGAGTCTCCGCACTGCCCCTGTGGCCATGTCTACGTGTAGCACTGTGTTACTCTGATTCAACAGAGGGAAAGAAGAATTAGATACACTATCGCTCCAGAAATGGTAATTAAATGCGACGTAAATCGACAAAAAATATTTGGACACTGCAAAGGATTTAAATGTGTATACTGGGCTGTTACTGTCAATTATTTTTAGAAATAATTATTCGATCGATCACCCCATCAATTAATTGAACAACATTTTATTTTTTCATGTTTATTGGGTATTGTTTCGTGATTAAAAAAAAGAAACCAAACACCTCTCTGAGGTGCTTGGATTGCCCAGGTAAAATCAATGAGATGCGGAGTCCATGGGCCCGCTGCTCCACTCCCTCTAAAGTGTAGATGCTGTCTTCTGCTGGCCTGCAGTTATTCTCTGTTTCTCATACTTTCAGTTGCATTAAACTATTTGGATTATTTTGGGAAGAGGAGTCCTCCTGTTCTTTTTTCATGGCCAGTGAGCCGGGTTACGACATTGACCATCAGTTAGTTGTCGATTAATCGCTAGATTTAGACACTGCCATTAACATATTTCGGCAACAACACTCCATACACACACGCACGCACGCACCACGCGCACACGCACGCACACACACACACACACACACACACAGACTTGCTCACATCACACACCACCCCAACCCAACAGATCCCACCTCTTAAAGGTAATTTTCGATATATTTTATACTTACAAGCAATGTGTGTGTGTGTCTATGCGTGTGTGTGTGTGTGTGTGTGTGTGTGTGCGCGCATGCGTGTGGATGTGTGTTCAAATACATTTGTTTTTAATTCGTTAACAAAAACAAACAAACAAAAAACCAGAAGGGTAAGGGGTAGAAAACCCTACGAAAAATAAGAGATTATTGTGGATTGTTTCTATTCCCCGCAATTAACAGAAGTTCAATTGGCTTTCACGATAATAAATATAGAAGGAAAACATACATAACATTAATCTTCATGGAAGAATGGAAAAGATTACACATAGCAGCACCAATAATTGCATTTTCAAAGCTAACGTTATGAACTAATTTCGATTTATGGACCTACACTGTATTACCGAAATACTGTAATACTCTTTGGGTGAATTTTAATTTGTTCAACCTACAGAGGGCGCTCTAGAACTAACCAAGTTTAGTATTTAGACTCACATCTTGTATCTTGCTTTCATGGTGTTTCATCTTCATCTTGTTTCAATGGTGTGCCTGTGTGTGTGTGTGTGTGTGTGTGTGTGTGTGTGTGTGTGTGTGTGTGTGTGTGTGTCCTTCATCAGCCCCCCCCACTTGGCTTTGTCCTCATCTTCAGTTGGGTTTGATGAGACAAAACCACAGGGAAGCAAGCATGACACTAATGGTTTCCTTATTGCCTCGACATTCCTGACATATACACACATGCGCACACATTGCGACTATTAGACGAAGGTAAGCCCCTTTTCTTGATGATAAACATGGACCATAGCACATGAGCACAAGTCTGTCCATCTATCTCCTGGAAGCTCTTTTCCTCCTCCACCCAGAGAAGTTAAATAATTCCGCAAATAATAAAATAAATATGTTTTTATCCCATTTCCTAGATTCAAAAATGACCCAGATAAATGCAGACTATATATGCGGTGGTCCACACAGTCATTTGAATGCTCAAAAATCAACGGGCACACCCTTCTCTGTGCCAAAATACGCAATGTACTTGTGTTATCCATAAAAAAATATGGTACATTGTCATTAGCTTGTTGACAAAATGCTAACTTTATGCCATTAATGTGCTAAGTTACCATACGTAGCACTACCAGGACGCGTGGTTATTAGTCAGCAGTCATCCGCGTCCCAGAAAGGACTCAAAATACTCTGGGCATATGTTTCCGGTCTGAAGGCCTGTGACCTGTGAGTGAACTTTATTTTGTCTGGGCCTCTTCATATCTGGACGGACGTGCTTTGATACATCACAAGTGTATTTTTAGAATCCCCCTTACCCCCATTTGTCTAATATGCAGCAGCTGCAGAAACGCTGTGAGTGGACAAAGAGCTAACATGAAATGCATTTGTCTCAAACTCGGAGAGATGTTATCACGAATTATGGCTCACTATTTTGAGAAACTTGACATAAACAGAGTGTCAAGATTCTTAGTCGAGTTCATAGTGGTCAGAATGAGGACATGTCATCGTGTTCATCCTCCCGTCTCTGGAAGATCCCCAATTGGGATGTTAAGAGTCCTCCAACTGGAGTTAGAGTTTGTGCTCTACCCTTTCCGGATGGATGTGACCAGGATAATTCTAATAGTAGGTATTCAACTAGCATCCATGATTGAGTGAATGATTGCCAGAATGTCCAGCATGGTGGAGAGTGGTCTTTCAAATTCCAATAAGGTGAAACAAGACAGAGAAGACAAGACAAAGAAGAGCTACTGTACTAAAGTAACATAAATATCTTGTTCTTGGGATTATTACCCAAGACTAATGACCATAACAATAAAATGAAGGCTCGGTTTTCATTGGCATGGGTTTGTTAGATTTTTGAGAGCCAACCTGTTGCTCGTGCAGAACCACCTGCCCATCCAATGGACTTCCCAGGGGGGCCACAGTGACAAAGGGCTGCCAGACACCACTGATGGTCCTTGGGAAGACGTCGTAAAGCTCCACGCACTGGATGGCCTCTCCACGCTCCTTCATGGAGTAAAGCGTCACCGGGTTACACGTGGCCACGTACAGAGTGTCTGCAAAGCAAACAGGATGCATCAAAGGGGATGACTCAGCTCTTGCGTGATTACTCTAAATAGAGTTCCAGAAAAGAGAAGGGGCTTTTTCATATGTTTTCGCCCCAATTTTAGGGACAAATGTGACTCCCAAAAAGCAATCATGCTGTGATGGCTTCTTTCTGAGAAATCTTGTCGTGTCCTTTGATTTGGCACAGTGGATGTCTAAAAATAGCCACAAGGAAGCCAGACCAAGGCATGAATCCGTGAGGTAAAGAACTACACATGACGGAATGGAGCAAAAGTCTGTCCCATCTCAGATTTTAAATCTAACAATATGTTTTGGAGAAAAAAAAAAGTATTTTATAAAACTTTTAGGTGTACTCATTGTACTCATTTTGAGTGCAGACTGCAGGCTACCAGGGCTAGACGTTCTGAGAATTTTCCTTGGTTGATGATGTTGAAAGTGAAGAATTCTAGCCTCCTGGTTGCTGCAGAGTAGTGGACATTTGTAATAATTACAAAAGCGGTTATTTGTTTGTAACCAAAATACAGCAATACAGTACACTAATCTTCACTTCCTGTTGAATTTCATTTGCCTATTGAGCCAATAACATAGTCAGGCCTTGATCAAAACTGCCCTCTGCTAGCGGCTGCACAGGATTGTAATATCCATCCATCCATTTTCTACTGTTTATCCGGGGGCAGGTCGTGGGGGGCCTTAGCAGGGAAGCCCAGACTTCCCTCTCCACAACCGACTTCCCTCTTCCCACCAGGCGCTCACCAGTGACCCCCATCTCAAGGCCTGGCTCCAGAGGGTGGCCCCTGTGACCCGTATCCAGGCAAGGGAAAACACCGTCCAATGTTTTCGTTCATCATCAGTGTCAATGAGCCGTGCTTTGTCTCTTACTTCACAGAGGATCTGTTTGCCATCGGTGACCCTACCAAGGGCATAAAGCCCCAGACAACTTAGTCCCAAGGATCATTGGGACACACAAACCCCTCCACCGCGGTATGGTGATGGCTCATGGAGGGGAGTATTGTAGTAGGGCGTTAGACATAATTATATAAATAAATAATTGTAATCGGGCATTTAAAAAAAACATTGTAAAAAGATTAAAATACCATCTTTGGTGGTGACATCGCAAATGATGTTGACTTCATTCATGGGAATCTGCCAGTGGGCTTTTTCTTCACTGAAACTCAGCGCTCGGCTCTCCTGCCTATTGCAAGGATAGGCCTGAATACGCAGGTAGACCGGGCCCTGGGAATGTGAGACATACAGTTAGCATAGACAACCACTTTCATTTTATTCCTGAATTGTTTAATAGCTGGTATATAAATAGTCGAATCTTTGGTGTGTGATATTATCCAATAACGTAAATCTCATTGTCTGCCAATTTCAAAAAATGTGTTTTGGAGCAAGTCATTCTGTATTTATGTAATCGTGGGGCTAGTAATTTACAAATTAACCATCCACACATCCACAGTTTCACTGCCCATGTCATGAGCAGCTCTGCTGGGTGGACATCCAGACAGACCCGCTTTCAAATGACAATCAAATTCTGGGAGTACACTGTTTTCATGCTCAACATACACATATTCTGGGCTGTGCTTCCACAAGTAGAGGCAAGCAGCCAGCTGCAGCACACACTTGCCGACGACAAGATGAAAGCCAATATGTCTCCTTTGGAAAAAAAAAACAAAAGAGACATTATTTACCTTGACATCAATGTGATGCGTCTCAGAAGGACAAAGTAGTTTGCGTCGGGCATTGCCTTGTTGATTTATCGTCCAGAATCCTGTCATCTTGGGTTCCGGCAGGGGCAACCTGGGGTAAGAGATCAAATTTTGACCTTAACAATTCGGAGTTGAGTCAGACAAACTGCAAATAGTGATGAACCGTAAAAGTCAAATGTTTGGACACCTTTCCTCATGCTTTGGTAAAGTGGGTCCAAACTATTATACATTGGAGTAATTTTATCGAGTTCAGAATAGATACAGAATGCCGCGATATGTGTGTTAATATACCAATAGTTTTACCCTTTCCACGTGTGCCTTTGAGAGGAGGGGCCTGGTGGAATGGCATGTGTAAGCTAGTGCACATGGGCTCGCGCTGTGGCTCACAGCAGCTCTTGCGTGAGAGTGCTCTTCATTTTTATTTTATTTTACTGCTGGCATTGGTAAATATGGGCGTGAGAGTGCTCTTCATTTTTATTTTATTTTATTGCTGGCATTGGTAAATATGGCTCTCCTTTTCTATATGCAAAGTCATTACAGGGCATTGCAGTAAGTAAGTAAAACACCTGGGTCCCAAGCAATAAAGTTTTGTTTAAAATCAGATGTGGTTAGAATCTCACAGACAGAAGTGGGCCAGCTGGTTATCAAATCCACCTCAAAGTTTAGAGGTCTTTGGTTAAAATCCTGGCTCCGGCCTTCTTTGTGTGAAGTTTGGATGTTCTCCATCGTGGGTTTCTCCGGGAACTCCCATTTCCTCCCGCATTTCAAAAACGTGCAAGGTTGATTAATTGAAGATTTAATTGTCCATGGGTGCAAATGTGAATGAATGGTTCAGTAGTATAAAAACAAAAAATGTAAGTAGTAGTGGCATTCTGTTTTTTCGAGGCAGGTTCCTGCTCTACATAGAATAAATAACTGCCTCGAATGCACACTGAAGGATGCAGCCGACATCAGTCCAAAGATTTTTACGCTTTGGGAAGATGGAAGCTTGTGCACAGATTTTCCCATCTGTGCACAAGCTTCCATCTTCCCACAGCGTACTGTGTGCAGTGTGACAGTGCTGGGAGACGACGTTGGGGGTGTGGTCTCGATGTGCCCTGCGATTGGCTGGCAATCAGTTCAGGGTGTCCCCCGCCTAACGCCCGAAGACAGCTGGGATAGGCTCCAGAGCACCCCCTATATATATATATATATATACATACACACACACACACACACACACACACACACACACACACACAAAAACACTGACTTGATTCAAATTTTTAATCGCAGCAAAGTTAGTGCTCAAAGATCGGGTACTTATTTTGCTCTTTTTTTCGTTTTTTTTTTTGGTTGTATTCTTCTGAAAAAGCGGTGGTATTAAATTATTGATAATTATTGCTAAAAGAACAAATCAGATCGTCTGCCAATGTGATGAAGGAAAATACTTGTTTCTGCCCCGTTTAGTTCAGATTTTATTTTTTATTTTTCCAGCAAATGTGATCAGTTCAAAATAAAACAACAGGACACCAGAGAAACAAATATTTCCCTTTATTTAAAGGTCAAACTTCACATTTGTGGTCAGTGGATTGTCATTAATGCGAGGCTTTAGGTTATTATCATTCCAACAGCTTGATTCGTGCAGAGACTTCATTGAAGCCTCATACAAGTTTAGTGCCATTTGAAGACAGCTAAAACTGAATTCAAGTCATACCAAATAAAAAGTTCATAAAAATGTATTATGAATATAAATAATACAGTATGATGCAAAAATCTAACATTTCATCATTTCGAAAGTAAGGAGTTATCATGGGTTGAAATGAATAAGCAAGTACAGCTTTCTTTATTACCGATAGTTGTTTCTTGGTGTTTACAATCCAATGTATACACATCAAATGATAGGGTTGTACAGATTAGTCGACTCCACAATTTAGAGTGGGACATTCGACTACTTGCTAATCGTGTTTTTGACATGAGGAGGAGGATGAACCGCTTGCCACAACTGATTAGTGTGAGTGTGCTGAATGAAATTAGTCCGGCACTGTCATTTAATGAATCTGTTTTTTTAAATTTTGAACGTGCAGCTTTGGTAAATGAGGGAGGACTAGTAAAGGGGGAAAAAGCTTGGCTCTAGCATGATTCTAAACAAATTTTCAGATTTCACTCTCAAAGCGGAAGGACGGCGTGAAGTTCTTTAACCGCACATAATGAGGTCGGTGATTATTTGCATCTTTTCATCCATTTTTCCACACCGCTTACTCTTATCACGGTCACACGTGTGCTGGAGAAACATTGTAAATTCCCACCGTGCTGGACTTGCTACTGTGGTGGGCCCAGAATGAGGACAGGCTTCCTCATTTGGCAAGTTGTACAAACATTACCTGGCTTCTCCAGCTGTAAGCAGACCAAGCAATAGGATTTTTTTTCACTGTGCCCACGTTCATGTTTTGCCTAAATGCAGTGTATGGGCTGTTCATTGTTTGTGACTATAGCTTACTGCAAAGCATTCCTCCCTCCTGTGATTGTTTTTTGAATTACGGTGACTCAACTTTCTTGAGTGTTATTTTTTTATTTTTATTTTTTTTTAAATCTGAGGTCGTGCACCCCTTACCAAATCATGATCATTGCAATTACATCTACCACTATGAACAAAACGTAACATGTAAAACATTGTCATAGTTCTTCTTACATTAAATCCTGCATTTATATATTATATTTAAAATCATGCTATGACTGTAACTACATAAACCGTTTGAGGATAATAAATTTCTTATGAAATGTACTTGTTGACTATGTGCACTTGCATAATGTAATGAGATCCACTATCAAGCTATGAAGGCTCAGTTTGGATTGACACAGTCAGAGACATACTCATTTACCGCTAATAATATATTTGTAGTGGTTAGAATGGCACTGCATGGACATTCTGGCATGGGGCCTTTTAGCAAGTGAACATAATGTCATGACCAGCAAGCGCTGTGTTCCTGATGCCTTACTCCTTGGCCAGCTGAACAGAGTTGGGCTTGGCTCCGATGGGGATGCCGTGCTTGTGCAGCGCCTCGATTAGGACGTCCCGTGTATCTTGGTTGTACGAGTCAAAGTCAAAGACGTTCCGCACCACGTTGGCAAGACCTTCGTTGGGGAATTTCTGTTGGGATGGAGATGTAGGAAAACAGGACAAACAGATATGAACATCAAAAATTCTACCTTGACAACGATAACCAAAATAAAGTGTTTCCAATATTTTTAACATGCAGCTTAATAAGGAAACAACACTGGAGCAAAACAATGCAAATCTACATCTACAATATCGTATTTCCTCAAACTGTGTTGAGAACTGCATCGGTATGTGTTGCTGTTTTGTTTTTTGATTTGTTTTTCAATGACACGGTCTACGAACTAAAAAAAAAAATCATGTTCGCGAGTCAAAGTAAATTTTTTTTCATTAAAATTACACCAAGTGGGACAGCTCTGCTTCTGGGGGACAATAATTGGGCTGTAGCTCACATCTCTATGTATTTATTTCCAGTGCTGGGCCTTGGCATAGTGGATGCCCAATCAATAATGTCTGAGAGCATAGAAGCAATGTGTACATTGACTTGGGGGCGGTCTCCAAAGATGCCAAACAGTGAAGTGGTAATTAAAGGCAGCCAAATTATTGCGAGTCCAATGCCATTAGTGAGTTATGACAAAGCAGCACGGCCTGTGGGGAAATCAGGAAAAAAAAAGGCCTCGTCCCTTTTGCACTGAATTATTGATCCCTCCTTGCTCCTATGGTACTTTCTGAGGTCTCACGAGCTGAAATAATGTGCATTATTTACGCTACCTGAGCACAAGGAGACAAGCCGATTGTAGGGGAAACAAGCATTTCTGGACTGATATACACGTATATGCGGTGGCTAGAGACTACAACCAAAACGGTCGCATGTGTAACTTATTTTTCAGAGAGCACAAGTAAGAATTTCATCTGGTCGCATTTTCAAACTATCAAGTGATCACTCGCTTAAAATATGGGATACAGATTTATTTGGTAAAGCAGGCTCATCAGCTGGATCACTCGTACCATGTAACAGGCAGATGCTTGTAATTAAAGATAAATAAATGTATCATCGTGATATATTCAAGCATTGCGGTTCAAGCGAATGAGGTCATAACGGAAAAGTGACTTGAAACATTGTCATCTTTCGCATTCGGCGAGATTCAAGGTGAATTCAAATACAGTTGGACATTTAACACTCAAACAAAAAGGTCCCTGTAAACATTAACAGCTACAAATCTGTAAGTAACATGGGATTTCTTACAATCCATAAAAGCTGACATATACCAAGAAGGATGATGGGGTGAACTTTGCTATTTTACTTAATTACAATCAATGATCCATCTTGTCACTTATGTTATATTGCCTAATCAAATCACGAAGCTTCCATCCTTCGGTGTAGTGGTCAGGATGTTAAATATTCAATGAGATTTTATACTCCGCAAAGGCTTAAATAATAAACAACAAATCTTTTGGTGCCTTAAAACAATGGTCCCCAACCCCCGGGTCCGGACCGGAATCGGTCTGTGGATCATTTGGTACCGGGCCGCACAGAAAGAAAAGAAATAACTTACAATACTTCCTTCCATTTTATTTATTTGGGAATCTGAAAGATGTTTTATTTTGAAAAATTACCGGATTCTCTGTTACATCCATCTACAGTATGTCACTCTTGACGCAGGTCAAGGCGCGCTTCTCAGTCACATGATAGGTTAACGCTAAAATGAAACCCAGGAGCTAGCAAAATGAGTAAAAAACACGTCTTTGGGAAGGGGAAAAGACTACATTTAATAGACAGAATCAGGAGTCCTACTTAAAAGATGGATTTATCTCAACAGGAGATTCCCACACATCAAGCGCACTCTGCATAATATGCAGCGATGGTGAGTTGTATTTTTCATGCACTTTGTATTTGCAGTTTGTATTTTGAAGGCACTTTTAAACATTGCCATAGCGACCAGAGAGTGTTGCGGCCAGATAGGACATTCCTCGTGTCATGATTCGTGTTTATTATTATGTTACGAAAATACCACAGTTTTCATGTCGGTCATATCATATTATGATCCATATGTGGTCCAGTGGTTAGCGCGTCAACCTCACAGTGCAGAGGTCATGGGTTCAATCCCGGCTCCGGCCTCCCTATGTGGAGTTTGCATGTTCTCCCCGGGCCTGCGTGGGTTTTCTCCAGGTACTCCGGTTTCCTCCCACATTCCAAAAACATGCATGGCAGGCTGATTGAACACTCCAAATTGTCCCTAGGCGTGAGTGTGTGCCCAGCGATTGGCTGGAAACCGGTTTGGGGTGTCCCCCGCCCGCTGCCCGAAGACAGCTGGGATAGGCTCCAGCATGCCCCGTGACCCTTGTAAGGATGAAGCGGATCGGAAAAGGGATGGATGGATGAACCTTAAAGGCCACTCCCTGAAAATATTGTCTGACATTAAACCGGTCCGTGGAGCAAAAAAGGTTGGGAGCGGTCCCTTAAAACATTTGAAAAATCCTGGATACAACAATAGGCCTGCAATACGCCAGAGAGACAGCACAGCAATAAAGGTCATGTAAATCTCAATCGGAAACTAGTCTGTTTTTGGGGAGGGGTCTTCCTACCTGGAGATGTTTGACAATGTTGACCACCTCACGTGTAGAGTACGGGTAGGCGATGGTGCCCTGGTCAGCCATGGACCGGAGCTCTCCGAAGGCAGCAACCAGCTTCTCCAGAGTAGTGTCTGGAACGCTGGGGCCGTACTGCTTCAGCATAGCCAGCTCAGCCCTGGGTTTGGGGTTGTCGACGGCATGGCAGCTGAAGATGTCACCTATGAAGATGAATGCATATTGTGGAGTACCAAAACAAATGGATCAATGTCAAATGGCACTGTGTTTGTGTGTGTGTGTGTGTGTGTGTGTGTGTGTGTGTGTGTGTGTGTGTGTGTGTGTGTGTGTGTTTACCAAGAGCTCCAAAAAAGTCATTGCCCAGGAAGGGAAAGCCCGGTCGGTTAGCCAGCACCATCATTCTGAAGTCTGGGTGCATGGTGATGGTGTTAGGCCTCCCCTTGGCGTCAAGGGGATCTAACAATAGGAGACAAAACACACAAAGCCTTTATTTGTACAAATAATTTTGGAACCATATAAACACAAAGCCACTGCTTTACGATCTATGTGAAGTAAAGTGGAATTGTAAATAAAATAAAACACAATGACAAAAAACAAAGTCGATTAGACAGAACATAGACATGGACACCCACAACATTGTGGAGCGACCACATGTAAGAGCCTAAAAAGCTAATCATCATCCAAGATTAATCTGCCAGATGCTTTGTGTGCTTTCGTTGGTGCTATTTTGATTAGCAATCGAGTTCAAGTGGCCTCTGTAGTTAATGCTTTTACATCAGTGTGTGATCAACCTGTTGGAGCCTGAGAGGTACTGCAAAGAGGAATTGGCAAAAACTGCCCAAATATAGGTCAGCTAAGCTTGTGGCATGATCATATTCAAACAGACGTGTCACCATGTAAAAACGAAACAGTTGACTTCCATTTATGTGTCTCTGATGTTTGCGTATGCACAGACAGAATAGTGTGCACGCTACTGAGCAGTGAGCAATCAAATCACATCCTCCAGCCAAATGATTTGAAGACAGAACCACCTTGCTAAGTTATCATCGTTCAACTATTAAGAGGATAACTACGTCCATATGTAGCATTTTGTTGCATGGTAGGATTTGTAAATTTATACCTGTAATCGTAGTAGATGAAAAAAGGTTTTCAAATAAATTTCTACTTCATTTACCTTCTAACTTATAATTGATAATAGACATGATTTTGTTGTGGAAAAAGATGAATTAATTGCTTGTTTGTAAAAAAAAAAAAAAAAAACCATTAGAAAATTCCCATAAAAGAAAATTGCATATTAAATCACAATCATATTTTGGAGGAAAAAAAACACAATTATTTTTTTTTTTCCCCAAACTGTTCAGTCCTAGAATAGATTCGTTCAGGCCTAGAATACATTCGAGTCGACAATGCGTTTTGAGAATCTGACTCAAATGATAATCTCAGGCTTCTGCGACAGTGTTGACTAAACCCAGCATGTGAGGGGTATTGAGCATACCTGAGATAATTCTGCGGCCGTCAGCCAGAATCATCTCTCCGCTCTCTACCAGGGTTTTCAGGATGCAGGTGACATTCGTGGGAGCTTTGTCGGCCTCGTCAATCACCAAAATGTGTCCCATTTTCACGGCGTTGACCTGCACACCCATATCAACGCCACTTAAACGTTCCGAAAAATCAATGATACGAGAATATCAGACTGGAAAAATAGGAGTCCTCGGCAACGGACCAGCGGCGAATCCTCATACGTGATGATACCATCTCGGACTGAAGGCTGCAGCGTCAACGTCTGCACCGTCGTATCCCTGCAGAGAGCACATGTATTGCAGAATATTAACCACAATACTTTCAGTCTTCCCGCATCTTTGGGATAGGCACTACATTATTTATTTTTCATGAGTGTCCTACAGTGGTATATGTATGAGCTTGAATTTATGTGAGAGAGACAAATTGTGGTGGCCTTGTGAGAACCGGTACTGGCCCCGTATATTTATGATGTAATATATTAAGTTTTAGTCTTTATTTCTAATAGTGCTAATTTAGTAATCTAACACGCTACTATATCTAATATAGTAGCCTGGTTAAAGTTAAGTTCAGTAAACTCTGACAAAACAAATTTGGCAAAATGTAAAACTGAACAATGTTTATGTTGAGGAAAGCTACTAGCAGACAATTTCCACTTGACTGCAGAAGTGAGTAACATGAGACAAGTCATTGCTCACCGCACCAAATTCTGGTCTGGTACATGCATTGTTTACACATGCAACAAAACAAATAGTTAACAAATAATCAAATTAAGGAGGTAAAACACGCCTGCTTACTAACCAACAGATACAAAACAAACAACTGGAATATGGAGTAGAAAAGTAACAAAGGAAAAAGATTTACGTCTTCAACAGTCAAGGATAATGAGATGAGGTCATCTACAAGTAGACGTCCCTGGGGGTGTGCCGTCACGTCTGCGCCAAGACACATTTTCAGCATGCTGATGTCTCACGCGTACGCACCAATGAAGGAAGTAGAGACGTTCGTGTTTTCGAGCTGGAAATACAGCTCTAATGTTGAGTTTGTGACAATTACCCTTCTCTGTACCGCTTATCCTCAAATTAGTTTTCCAAAAACGGTTTGGGATTATTCGGTGCAATCTCATTTTTTTTTTTTTTTTACATCATTAATTTCAACAAGTGTGGACACTTCCTCTTTAGATCATAAAGATGGCTGGGACTGCATTTGAGTCCATCAGATCAGCAAACTAAAAATATGACATCAAATTACAATCTCAATCATCTTTAATCCCAGTGGACATTCCAAAATTACTAGAGTTGCCCCAACCCCAACCCCCGCACTTCCCACTCATCCATGATGCACGCTCTTCGAGTTGATCCGGAAGCCGTCCTACTTTCTTTCTTGGGCGGCTTTTGCTTTTCTGAGCCACATCTCTGAAGACTATCAGTCTCCCAACCCTCTCTGTACCGCTTATCCTCAAATTAGTTTTCCAAAAACGGTTTGGGATTATTCGGTGCAATCTCATTTTTTTTTTTTTTTACATCATTAATTTCAACAAGTGTGGACACTTCCTCTTTAGATCATAAAGATGGCTGGGACTGCATTTGAGTCCATCAGATCAGCAAACTAAAAATATGACATCAAATTACAATCTCAATCATCTTTAATCCCAGTGGACATTCCAAAATTACTAGAGTTGCCCCAACCCCAACCCCCGCACTTCCCACTCATCCATGATGCACGCTCTTCGAGTTGATCCGGAAGCCGTCCTACTTTCTTTCTTGGGCGGCTTTTGCTTTTCTGAGCCACATCTCTGAAGACTATCAGTCTCCCAACCCCCCCCCCCCCACACACACACGTATCTTCCTGCCTCCCTCCCCTGCTGCTTTGATCTAATATTAGCTGCTTCAGTGAGTGGGACTAACCGGGTCATCATGTCCATCTACAAAGCTGTCCGTTTTGACTTTGACAAGACTTTGACCGCAGCTGCACATAAAAAACCAGCCACAAACCGACGAATGCATCAACACTGTTGATGTTATGTTTGAATGTACTCAGTGATCTTATGGGAAACAACACACACACACACACACACACACACACACACGCACACACACATATATTTAGTGTGTGACGGGACTGAGAGACTTACAACACAGACAGTTTTTTTAACCGTCTGGATTGAATTGTTTACAACTGTTTATATATATATATATACATATATATATATATAAAAGTACAAGTGTGGTAGATTAAATGGAATGCACCATCAAGAGCTTTGCAAAATGCTTCCTCTTCTCTTAGGCAGAAGTCCTTGTTCCCCAAAAAAAAAAAAAAACCAGCAGCAAAAGCAGGGGTCACCAACCAGGACCCGCCCATGGCATAAACATTCTATGCGGTTGTTTAGGGCCACAATCGCAAGAGGGGGCCCACATCAATTCCTGTGTTGCAATGCGTGCTCCGCTGCATGAACTGTTTATGCCACGGGCCGGCCCGGAATGAACCTTCTACACTACAGCGTATTCAACAAATACAGGACGACTCATGTCCTTGTCAAACCAACCCTTTTTTGTCGTTCACGACGGTTGCGCTGTCAGACTACTACCGTAAATATCGTTCTGTATCTTGGACCGGGCAAGATGTCACACTACAAGTCGGGCAACAACCAAACCCTGCCCTGTGCTTAATGCATGTGGTGGTACTCACTATGTCACCACCATACAATTAATGAACACACACCACTCTTGAATATTTAAAGTTAAATGAGGAAAAATTACATTTCAGAAAGAATGAGAAATGCAATACCACCATGACATTGCGCGATTGCTAAGAAAATTTTTTTAAAAATTGTGTTTGTCGTTGTTACGACTGACCTGTGCAGTTGTAGGTATTCTCTGGGTCGGTTCAGAAGGTGCAGGAACCTGTCCACTATTTTGTTTTTCCCGACACCCTATGGAAGAAAATAGGACAACAAAATAAAATGTGTTGTTTTAGTAACAATGTTCGATAAGAGTGTGAGATGAGTCTATTCCCTTCAATGCAGAGGAAGGCTTGCATCTCTCACTTTTGACGGTAACAGTTTGTGACGGGGCCTCCTCTCCACTCTGGGACTCTCACTGGCTTACCACAGTGACCTCCCAGTCAGACATCCTGCAAGGAGCTCTGACAGCCGCTAATGTCTTGGCTTGGGACAGATTCCCCAACTGACTGCCGCATGTTATTATTGCAACAACACAGACCACCATATTTTGGCTGCCATGTCCACTTCTTTCCTGTAACTCGACCCACTAAAGCTAAACTGACAGGATAAAGCCTCCTAAAGGAAGTGCTCGACGCTGAAGATTTCCTAAAGGGTCAAAAGAGTTTTGCAAGTCTTGTGTTCTTGCCAAACTGCCTGCTACATAACTGACAAAAATTGCAGCAAGAATAAATGTAAGTAGCTTCTAAATCGGAGGCTAATATTGCACATTCGGCATCCTGTTATTTGATTTGTGATATTCTATGGGCAAATGTTGACACGATGAACGAGTGATTTCTTCTGTGATTAAGAGTGGGCAAAAATTCCCATAAAGTAGGATTGTACTGTGGTTATACATTTTGTTGGATGCCTCACCCGCAATAGATATGACTGATTGATTACCAATAGTTAAATTACACGATCAATTGGATATATGTTGTGGATGTCTTTAAGCCAGGGCTCGAGACTGCCCTGGTGGCATTTTGCCTTTAACATTTAAGACATTTTTTCATCTTCTCATGCTTGTGTGACCAGTAAATTTGCTAAATTAACTTTTTTTTTTACCCCTAGTAATAATAAAAAAAAAAACAAACTCTGGAGCCTTGCTTTAAACAACGTAGGCCTAATAGATCTACCTATGTCATCAACCAGTAAAAACCCATTTTTCTGTCTAGACCGGTTGCAACAGAGAGTACACAAAGTAAAGTTTAGAGTGCAACAATCTCAAATTGAAACATTTTTTTCTGTTAAAATGGAAATTAAAAAATTATTTTGTTCATCAGTGACAAAGCTTGCCTGGTTGCCGACCAAGAGTAAGTGCTCTCCTAATAGAAAGTCTTTTAACATGTCCTCCATCACCATCACGTGCTGCAGAGACACAAATCACAATTACATTAAAAAAACTAGGTCATAAGAAGTGCTCACAATACATTGTTACAAAAATTATATATCGCTTTGTTATGTTGTTGTCCTTCAGGACAAGACAGGAAGAAAACAGGTCATTGGAGGAAAAAAAAGTAGGACATCTGCACCTGGCCCTCAGACATGATGTCAACAACATTCACTCTAAATAACATTCTCGAAATGGCACGAAATAATGCGGAACACGTACAGAGAGAGCAAGCGTTTCTAAGAGAGGAATCTAGGCCAAAGGACACATCAACAGAGCTTGCTCCTTCTTAGAACTGTCACATCAGTGACTTCAGTCGTTCACCTAAAATCGCAATCAATCAATCAGTCAATCAATAGCAATGATTATGTCAGCGCTCGGGGTGGTGACAGAAGAATTACCTGGGGATTATTATAGAAGAGCACATCTGGAACCTTCATTTTCTCATTGGGTTTGTAGACGGGAGCAGAAACTTTCCCGATCGTGAGCACGCCATCTTTGACCATACCTGAAGAAAAAAACAGAGAAATCGCCCCAATAATTTCAACAGCTCAGTGGATTTGATGCTGGGTGGCATGTAGTGACGGAAGGTGTGTATTCAACATGGAACACATTCCAGACTGATTTTTTTTGGGACACATATGATAATATACAGGGCTGCACAGTTGAACCCTAGTTATGAACATAGATGCGTTCCTATGGCAACACTAAGCTAGGTTAGGCAAAAGCGTCTGCACATTCCATGTGAGTGAATGGCAAAAAAAAAAAGAAAAAGAAAAGGCTGCCAGCACATTTTGCTGCATACCATTTCGCACCACCTTGCACACTTACGCCAGGGGAACTGGAAATAACATTTCATATGTAAAAAGCCTTTTCTTCCCCCGAATGTTCCATGAGTGTAAGCGGGTCAGATAGTGGCTGAGTGGATGTTCTGTATGAATACAACGAGTTTTGGCAATGATGAAATCATGACAATTAGTTGAGAAATGATCAAGTTGTGACTTAAATTCAATGGCAAAGCATTTCTTTTGATGGGAATGTTGTCCCTTCCAACATATCCGCCACAGAGGTTAACCAGGCTGCTACAGCCTGCTGGCGTATCTAGTATTCATATCGGTCAGTGGAACCTCTGAAGCCGAAGCCCTTAAGACCTCTGCCTTAACTTGAGCCAGGAAAAACCCTGTGTGATTGCGTGTAAATGTGTGTGTGTGTGTGTGTGTGTGTGTGTGTGTGTGTGTACACAACACGAAATTTATTTTTTTTCCCAAATGCAATTCAATGGGCGTGAATTAATGAAATGAGGTGCCTATACCCAGTAAAAAGCTAGAGTTAGCTGTTTTACTTAATGTCCCAATTTTATTGGAATTCGGTTTTGTAAACAACCATTCACACTTGCATTCAAACCTACGGACAATATTAGGTCATCCATTAACGTACCATGCATGCTCTTAGAATGTGTGAGTACCCAGAGAAAACGCACGCAGGCTTGTGAAGAACATGCAAACTCCAAACAGGAAGGTGGGAGCCTTGATTTGAACCCACGACCTCAGAACTGCGATGCAGCTGTGCTAACCAGTCATACCCCCGTGCCACAACAAAGACCCGGAAATTGAATTTAGTTCGACATAGAAAGGAAGATGTAAGTCTTGTGTATGCAAGTGACTGGGACGCACAAGTAAAGTCACGTGTGTTGTCAGCGTCCGGAGTGTCTTGTATGGAGCAGTTGGCGAGGCTTTTCTGAAGCAAGCTGCGGGCCAAACTGGGAAGAAACCTAAAAACACACAGTGCTACAATGTTAAGGGGCGTCCTCCCTACTACAGCCCTTTTTTGATAGGAGCCGAAGTGCACAAAACGTGAAGGTGCATACAACCCTGAGCACACCTTGAGAGGCAAGCCTTGTTGACAGCGTGGGCGATGCTCTCCTCGGGGTAGCGAGAGAGTCGGCGACAGATCCGCAGCAGCTGTCTGGTGGAGAGGGAGGAGGCCAGAGACTGTGCCTGGTGACACATGCAAATAAATGAAGGCAAATCACATTGGCACACACGTGCGCACACACGCAGGCACACTTACTGTGGGGTCAGTTGTCTGTCGTAGAGTGTGCGTGAGCTGCAGGAGCTGTTCGGCGGCCTCCTTTGGAACATTAGGTGACTGCAAAGTGAAATGAAAACAAGAGCAAGTGTATTGAGATAAAATTAATGGGAGCCTTGATCAGCCTATTTTTCTTTTATTCCCCGATATGGGGCTTTTGAAATTTTCCTTGCCCGCTTGCGGAGTTTAGATCAGGGGATGTTGCTAATGACTTTTTGTGATTAAGCTCTTTACAAATAAACTTCACTTGATAATTTACACACCGATCTGACATTAGCTACCGCTAAAACTTTGGATTGTATGGCCAGTCTCGAAAAATCTATACCTTTGTTATATATGGTGCTGACTTGCTGTATGTGGTGCCGGAAGTGAACACATTAAATGTTACCTTGGTTTTCTTGTGTCAGAAATCCTAAAAATCAATACAGTTCTCAGTTAAACCGGGTACTATTTACTGAAAGTTTGAGGGAATATTTTTAAATAATTAGGACAAGCAGAAAAATGACAAGAAATTTGTGATGGTTAAAACTTTAGACTGTACTACGACGATCAATTTAGTCAGTTATCATTCAAAATCAAGTGTTTGTACTTGAAAACAGGACAATAAGCCCTGAAAATGTCTAAATAGCTACCTTGAGATGCCGGGGATGAATATACATGACAAGAAATCAATGGATTTGTTTGGGATAAGTGCTGCTCGTAAGAAGCTAAATGGGAAGATGTGGTGTGCTGGATGTTATCTTAAATTGCATGTAAAAAAAATAATACCGGTAATAAAAATGAAGTCAACAGTTATTTCTTCAGTCAGAGTCCTCATCCCAGAAAGTTGAAGGAAATATTTCAAAGTCAAAATCTTTACCAGAAGACAAATTCTTGGCCACTGAGAGTATCTCACCAGTCCTTGCAAGAGGTTGACCTCCTCGGCTCGGGCCAGCGGCCTGACGGTGTGGTACAGGAACATGGTGAGCAATTCGGGACCCAACCACTGCTGACCTTTAGTGCTGCTGCTGCCACTGGTGCTTGCACCGGCACCCACAAGTGGAGGCTCAGCCAGGGCGAGCACTCGGAACGACGTGTGGATGGGAAAGATTGACCTGAAAAGACAAATACCAATGAGACACTGGCGGCTGTGCTGGGGTAGAGTGTGTGTGTGTGTGTGTGTGTGTGTGTGTGTGTGTGTGTGTGTGTGTGTGTGTGTGTGTGTGTGTGTGTGTGTGTGTGTGGGTGCGCG